TGTGAAGACAATTGAAAAAAAATGTTTGGGGTAAATCAACATTAAATACTCAGCAAGTTGGAGCAGAACATCCAGATTTTTACAGCTGATGATCTTGGTTCCATCTTGGAACAAGGAGCTTTGAGTGCAAAAAGAGCATCAAATTCCTCTATAATTCCTCTATAATCTCTATATATCTGTGACACAGCAGCTGTCCGTGACTTTGACAACATTGGATAAGCTTCTCTGGAAATGAATCCTGGACGTTCCTAAGAAGGGCGCATTCACCTTCCACACTTATTTAACTATATAAGAAATGAACCAAATGTTCATTGAGATATCTGATCATGGCCTCCTGATCCAGATCCAAAACATTCATTGCTTAGTTCTATTCTTGTTTTGTGCACATAGACAGTACAGACCCATTAAATGAAGAAGGAAAACTAAGTTCTTTTAATGAGTCAGGTTTCATAACCTCAAGCCAAATCTGATATTTCTGCTTTTGCCGTTCGCATTCTTGTTTCTAATTAAAGCATGTTTGTCATTAGTGTGAACAGAATTGACAAAATGAGGATCTCATGCACACAAACAACGACAAAACAAAGACTATCCATCAAATAGCACAATGAACAAACTGTGCTTAAATCAAATTTGATAACTCATTTGTGAATTACACACAAATCATTTTTGTTAAATGTCAGTTTAATGATCAATAATGTTTCATATTTTGTTTAAAGTATAGATTAATGAGACCAAAAACCGCCCAGATATACACAAAACGAATTCTCATGTTTATCCTCTATACTGCAGACATCAGAGCTAGCGGTGAACGTCAGAAGCACTAGCCGAGGTAAGGCTGTTCCAGGCGGGGTACATGAGCGTTGAGCGCCTGCTTATCGCCTGGATCTCACAACTCCGAAAACGTCAGATCAATTTTTTTAAATAGGCGCTATATTTTTAAATAAACCACAGATTTGAGCTTTAAACAACTACATTGTCAACTGAAAAACTATTAAAACTACATTTTGTGACACAATCATTTTGCAGCCTTTCACTGAACGTTACTATTACTAATAATATCATGACCAAATACAACCAGAAACAAACGTTGAGTCTTGTTTGTGAAAGGTAATTTCTCGAAACCCGTTTTCAATTATGTGGCGATTTGTACAGCCCAAAGCCGCACACAAAACAGGCGTTTTTCTCAATTCTCGTTATGAGAAGTATGAGAAAGTTGCCCTCTGCAATATGGCGGCACTGTTGACACACACTCCAGTGGCCAATAGGGCGTCTATGTATTTATTATGTCTATGGTTTTTCCCATCCTAGGGTGCGTTTCCCGAAAGCATCGTTAGCCAACTGGTCGCAAATTCTAGTTCAACGAGTCGTGTTTCCCGAAACAATCGTTTCAACGAACATTCGCAAGCAGCATCGCAAAGTTGTGTGGTTTGAACGACAACTCTCGAGCTTTGGTTAGAGGCATTGTTTCTATATTGCATCATATTTAGACGTAATGAGTTCTTATCTTGAGCAAAATAAGCGACAAAAATAAGTTTGTCAAAAGATTTTAAGTACCGAAGAGTGCACATGTGTGAAAGTGCTCTACAATGTAAGAACTAGCCAAAAATTGAGTCTGGTAATAAAGCAAAATAACTGAGAACAATTAGAAATAGTCCTTAGATGACATGTCTGTAATTTATATATAAAACAAATCCAGCGTTAATTGGATCTCAAACAGTTTCATTAAAAGTAGTTATTACTCCACCACGTGCGAAACCAACGTGGTGAACGATACTTTGCGAAAATGGGTTTCGGGAAACATTCGTGACTAGCTAGTTGATTTTTTCCAACAAAGTATCGTACTATGGTAGAGAAGCATCGAACTACATCGTTTAATGGGAAACGCACCCCTGGGTTGCCCGGATGTTACCATGTGAATATTTAACTTTTCAATCTGAATTTGAGCAGTCGAATTTGATCAACCTGAATCTGTTTTATCTGAAAATCTCTATGTTTTTTTTTTTTTTGTATCTGAATTTGTCAGCAGTGAAAAATATACATTGAAATCCAGGTTTTTAAAATGGAAATCAACGATTTTCATATTTCAATTTTCAAAGAGGTAAATTCCAAACAAATAAATTCAGATGCATGGTTTCCAAAGTAAAATAATTTAAAGGGGTGAATTCAGAGCAAATAAATTCACGTTTTTCAAAATAAAATATTTTAAAACCAAGTATTCATTGGCTGTTAAATTCCAAATAGGTATGTCTCTAATTTGCTTCCATAGAAAAGGTCTAAATATCAATATGACACATATTTTAAGCGAGTTTTTTTTATATTCCATAAACTAGCTTCATTTAATTTATGTATAAAACAAGACTGTCCTTTGCTTTACTTCAGGGTTGTAAAATAGTGTGGCAATTGCAGTGGCAGAAAGTTGCATAAGAGAGTTTCTCTTTTCTGGCAGTGTATTATTAAAATGATTAAAGCAGACCAGGTGTTGTGCGAGAGTGCTGACGGATGTTCCTGAATGGTAGCGAGATGAATGGAAGGAACCTTGACTCTCTTCCTGTCTGTCCCAGATACTTCCAAACTTTTACTGCGTTGCTGTGAGGCACAGATTAAGAGCTGTCTCTCTCTCTCACCCCATCATCTCTCTCTCCATCCTGGCATCTTAAATAACTGAATACAGATAGAAACGTTTGATGCATTTTTCATAATTTTGCAGTGAAACCTGCAGTGTTGACTAAACTGTATGTGAATGGAAAGATGTGCTATAGCAGGTCTGGTCATATGGAATAAATAACACATACTAATACAGATAAATCATACAGACAGGCTGTTTTAATTGTGCTATTGGATCTATAATGTAGGACAGTGGGATTATGAAGGTTTTGATTCAGTATCCAGAAATACATTTTGTGAATGGCTTGTAAATACCTCAACGTTTTTAGTTCCGATAACTCTCAACAGCCAATAATTCAACACACTAAAAACTCAAGTCACACCCTGTGTTTATCATTCAAGTGAACCTGCATTTATTGTAGGATCGTGAATCATGTCTTCTTTTGTTTTGTTCATGCTTTAGTATGAAAGCATGTCACTCAAGCATGCTGGCATCTGCATTATGTTTTTTCCACGCATACGTTTAAGACACGATCAGCTGTGTTGCTCATCGAGTGTGGTCGAGATCGCCTGTGGTGTTTCATTCCATCTCTCTTCTGAACAACTTCCTCTCTGCTTCATTTTTTTTTCTTGGTATGCAAGCATGAATGCCACTTTTTTACAACTTTAAAAAAATAATGTAATTTGATCATTTTAATTATATTAAAATGCTACTGGCAATACATAGAGACACTGTTGTGAGAACGTACAATGCATTCTCATCCCAAGGCGTCATATACTGACACTTTTGCCAATGCGTATACATCCAACGCACTTTAGCGTAAATATAACACGCTTCGATTATAGGTAGGTTTAGGTCTGGGGTATGGTTAGGGTTAGACCACTAGGAGGCGCCTTCTGCCCATATATATCTGCGTCTCATATTGACGCTAAAGGGTGCCATGTGTGTTGGATGTCTACGCATTGGCAAAAGCGTCAGTATATGACGCCTTGGGATGAGAACGGGCTGGAATCTAAGATATGCTGAAATATATCCCATAGCAGATGTGGGCAAGTGGAGCTGGGGAAGTGGAGGGTTTCAGAGGGACTCTGATTAGAAACACCTACAGAAAACTCTGAACCAGACTGTGTTGAGCAAGTAATCTCATTGACTACGTTTACATGCAGCCAATTTTCGGGTTAAGGTCGGGTTAAGGTCACTATTTGGGTTTCTGAAACATTAGGAATAACCCTTTTACATGCTTGAGCAGAGAGAGTTTCTCCTGTATACATGGAATTGCAATATCCCGATGTAAACGGCGACGCGTGGTTAGCATCTGGACGTACGGACAACTTTAGGACGCAAGATGCGTCATTTCCGATTCTTCTTCCTGTATCCAAAGACAACAACAATAGCAGCATGCGGATAATGAATAGTTCGGGCAGATAGCGATCGCCTTTGTTTGCGCTTTGATGCTGGTTGCTCGCTCCAAAAGTATGCTGTGCTGTGTCTCGCCTGGTGTCGCCATGTTTACTTCCGGTATTCTGCACGCGGATTTTTGTATGTGACGAGAAGTTTCTCTACTCAAAAGACCAAGATTCCTTGCGAATCGAACATCGAACACAAATCACTATGGGGATATGCCGAGACACGTTTACATGACCAAAAATTCGGGTTAGAAAAGGGTGACCCCAGGTATAATATCCCGGTTTTTAAAATCCGGGATATGAGCATATTCGGGTTTTTGCCAATGTTTACATGGCTGTTCGCAACCGGGTTATTGCTAATATCCTGGTTTTGAACGGGTTATTGGCTGCAGGATCAGCAGAGGCATATTAACTTGTGCTATGTGGTAATGATGTAATTGCTTGCAGATTGCATGTGGACCGATCAGGGGTGCGTTTCCCGAAAGCATCATTAGCCAACTATGGTCGCAAATTCCGTCTTTACCAATAGAGTTCAATGGAAATTGCGACCAACTTGCGACCATAGTTGGCTAACGATGCTTTCGGGAAACGCACCCCAGCCTGAGAGTTTCATGACTGAACTATATTTTTTTGGCTGTGTTTTCTTCAGTATTATATGTGTGCCTAATATCTGGGAAATATTGATTTTTTTTTTCTTTAGCCAATTGACAGGACACACCTCATGAAACTGGGATGTCTGGTCTCCCATCCTGACTTTAACCCATTCACTCCATTATAAGCGTTATGAGATTAACAATTAATGTCTTTTCATGAAGTTGCATTGGTCATGGAAGACTTCATGAAAATGAATGAAATGGACTTTTGTATTCTAAAAGCTTCTCTATTGTGGAACTCATTAGAGGTTTGTGATCACATGGCATTCTTTTGAAATGGGCTTTCTAGAAACAGGGATAGGTAGCCACACGCTTCACATTGACTTGCCATGCCTCTGTGTTTGCTTAGCCCTCAAGTAACCTCCCTAATTCTGGTATTACTGGTTAGGCTTCCGTGAGTTGTCAGATGTCTGAAATAATGTACATGAGTGTTTGTGTTCCAGCGAGTGGATTTCAACCTTGTTTGATCTCAATGTATTGGTGCAGGTGATATCGTGAGAGTAGAAGAGTGTCCGAAGGTAAGAGTGTCTGTCTATAATGCAGTTGAATTGTTATTTTATTTTATTGCTTACTATGCAGAAACTATGTATTTTCTGTTATAGTGAATGTATGCTATAATATGGTCTGTCAATGTAACTTTGGAATTTTGACAGCAGGCAAGAACATGCCGATTATACTGAGGCCAAAAGAATGTAGAAGGTTAAACAAAAAATGTTCGAAAGCTAACATAGTGTGCATGCATTTCAACACCTCTATGCCTCAGGAGAAATACTGTTAAAGTTTGAAGCTGCACGCAGGATTTGTGACTGATTTGATTTGACATTTGATGAACAAAATCTTCAAGGTCCACTAATCACTTTTTTCGATTTGTTTGCATTTGTGCGGATACAGTAGCCGCAAAGGTATTTGAATATGTAAACTACACTTAAAAATGTAGTTTATCAAAATGTGTGTACATCTGCATACAAATGATGCTTTCCTTTCTCAGCTATTTTTGATTTTTTTATTTTTTTAGACATTGGGTCTCAATAGGATGTTTAGTGGATTTATGAAATCTGTTTACACAGGTGTTTTAAAATATGAACTATGAAATTGAAAAATTAGCTTTTTTTTGTATACTGGTACGCACTTTGGTCAACGGCCAAGTTGTTTTAAATGCGCTATAAATACAATTTGCATTGTATTGTATGATACAATAATTATTCACATTCATAAAGTTGAAAAAAAATGTATCTTCCTCTTAAACAGTAGGTCTATTTTTTTAGTATTTAAATCATATAACAAATTTTGTGCATTGTTTTTTGATTGAAAAGTGTGCCCATATTTCTTTAAAATGAAAAGCACTTGATTTGGTATTTTGTTTTATTTTTTTTTTTTTTTTAACAAAATAAATGAATGCCTTTATTCAGCAAGAATGCATTACATTGATCAATACTGACAGTAAAGACATTTATAATGTTACCAAATATTTATATTTAAATGCTGTTCCTTTGAACATTCTATTCCATCAAAGATTGTTAATAGAATTTATAATGGTGTCTACATAAATATTAAGCAGCACGGCTGTGTTTTCAACATTGATAAGAATGAATTCTGAAGGATCACGTGACACTGAATACTGGAGTAATGATGCTTAAAAGTACATTCTAAAATATATAAAAATAAAATGGAAAAACGTTATTTAAAAAAAATATTTATTTACTTATTTTTGATCAAATAAATTCAGTCTGAATGGGAATAAGAACATTAAAAAAAAATCGTACCGACCCCAAACTTTTGATGCATAGTGTATATTTTTAACGGTGGCTTATGCCCATATACAGTATATTAGTGAGAGACAGAAAGAAAGCAAATTGGGGGGAGAGAGAGAGAGAGAGAATTATCACATTCGCATGGGTTGCAACTTGTCCAAAAGCCTCAAACTTTTCACACGCAAAACCAGCCAACATGACGAACCTTGCATAATTTGTTTTATATGCGACAGGTGTAAGTCTTACTTACAGGCCATCAGTGAGTCGACATTCCTGCTTCAATAATAACAGGTGCCTTTATGTTGTGGCTTCCACCATGAATGAGTGTTACCGTGTCTGCTTATTAGCTGCCTTTCCAAGCTGCTTGGATTGTCTTTGCTTCCTCTCTGGCATTTTTAAAGCTTTGTTAGCGTAGTCTAAATATTTAGCTGATGTTGTAAAAGCTCCGGCGCAAAGAAAAAGAGTTAGGTTTGTGAGTCATGATGAATTAATGAGCATGTTTGCTGAAGACAAAGGTCAAAAGGCAGCCGTCACTACAGGATGGGCTTTGTTTGCAGGGACACTATGCTATGAAGATTGGATTCTTTGGAATTCAGAGACACAATATTTCTGGCCACTTAATGAAATGAAAGACACGTCTTAATTCTTGAACTTAAATGATCTATAATTTGAAGATCTTGAACATGTATCTGCCATGTAGGAGAAAAAAAGGTTTGAGGTTGGATATATCTAAGTGTAGTGTCATTTCTGGCAGGTCATGTTAGTCAAGCTCGCATCAGCGGACTCCCAGCTGATCCACGTCTACATACAGGAATACAACGCCTATAACTGTATACAGTAAAAGATTTTCAGTATTATCAACAGCTATGGCATTTCTCAGGAGCTGATTACCCTCATCCATCCCCACCTCCTCCTCTCATCAGTCAGGATTTGGTAAAAATGATTCCCCTTGAATCAGAAAAAAATCTCGAATTATGTTGTACTTAAAATTTGTAATTTTGGTGGGGTAAAAAGGTGGCGTAGGTAGAAATTTATTAAACAAACAAAAAAAAAAAAACGTTTTCCCAAATTTGTTTAAACTGTCTATATATACGAATGCATAATTAAAATGTAAGTACTCTGAAAAAGAAAGTATACAAATCGCAGACTGATCTCATGAAATGGCGTATGTATGACACGCCAATTCGTATTTCCATTTTTATCAAAGTTATCGACGTCGAGTCAACGCCGTTGACTTGTTATCTTATTATGTTGATAAATTAGCTACCCCAACCCGTCCCTAAACCTACCCGTCACTGGGGTTAAAACCATTTATAAGTCTTTCCCTACCATCCTAGAAAAAAAATATCGTTCCCCAGATGTAGATCTACATTTTGCTTCGCTTCGCCCGGACATTTAACGGCGTTAACATTCGTTTCGGTGTGGACATACACGTGGATAGTTTAAAATGCGTATAGATAACATGCCACTTGACTTGAAAGTGGCGTGTATTTTTACGCAAAGTCATGATGTCATGTTGACAAATCGAGTGTCTGTAGTCCTCTCAGTGCTGCAATAAACACAGCTCATTACTTCATTCACTCCGACCCTGTCTCGCCTGGGATCCTTACAAAGCCATGCCCCCAAAACACATGCACGCGCAACTCCGACAGCGTTTACCAGTGCCACGGAGAGGAGCAGTTCATGTAGTGACATCATGTCAGAATCACATGTGATAAAATGCCTAACTTTATCATTATTAATATAAAACAACTAACATGGCTGGTAGCACTCACTATCAAGCTAACATATCGATACTGGTAAAAGTTTAAATATACTGAGTTTGATTCGGTAACAAGCTAGTAACATAAAAACTAAAAACAGCAAAACTAAAAACAGGGTGCATTGATGCACGTTTTTCCGTTCCTATCAGTTACACTGTGATGAAGGTGAATTTCGTGTACGATTCATAACATACGGTGACGAGCTTCCACGAAAGCACTGTTGGCGTCACTTTTCAGCCGTGCCTCTTCCACTCATCGAGCAAACATGTGCGCGCATGTGGACTGCTCTTATGCAACAGTGCTGGTAGCTATGGTAGCGAGGGAGCGTGACAGTCGCCCAGCCAATCATTTCTTTCGTCCCGCTTGGAAATAATGAGCTGTGTTTATTGCAGCACTGAGAGGACTACAGACACTCGATTTGTATACTTTCTTTTTCAGAGTTCTTACATTTTAATTATGTATTGGTATATATAGACAGTTTAAACTAATTTGGGAAAAACGTTTTTTAGAAAATTTCTATCTACCCTACCTTTAATGATATCTGCAATACATTCATGTTGGTTTTGTTCTGTTACCCTAATGCTCTTATCCATGCTAGGCTGTATGGATGCACAGGGAGTTCTTGCCCAGAACAGAACTATACCGCCAATCCAAACTACATGCTTATGGTCAATCGTATTTGATCCTGACAGAACTAAGTGTCTATCTAATGATATATTGAGTTGTAAATAAAACAAAGAGTATGAGAGTGCATTTTAGAAATTTTTACATTTAATGTGTTACTTGTCATTTCTTTGTGATTGTGACATTTACTAGCAATTTCTGAATGAAAATTGTTTCTACACCAATTTATCCATCCATCCATGAAATTTACTTGCAATTTCTGAATGAAAAGTTGTTACAACAGTTTGTCCATCCATCCATTAAACATTTCTTATTATGCTACATTGGTGTTTATTATTGATGTAACTTTTTCAGTGAATCTGCAAGTTACAAGTGACTCCTTATGAGTGAGTCATTTGAATCATTTGTTAAAAAAGCACTGAATCACTCAGCAATATTGTATCTAATATTGCTGGCAATATTATATCTAAAACAGACAGTAAATTACTCAATATTAACTCATATAAAAGAAATCTCACACAATCCTTGATACTACAATAACTTTATCTGCTAGTTGTACGGTGCAACCCGGTCTCATCCCAAGACGTCATATAACTGACGTTTTGGGACGTCTTTTGACCATACGTCAATATTCGCCTTTTCAGGGCCCCCTTAAACGTCGGTAGATGAGGTTATGGGATCCTAACTCTACCCCATACCTAAACCTAACCCTAAACCTAACCCGTCACCTAAGCGTCAGTTGTATGACGGCCCGGGATCGCCATCTACCGACGTTTAAGGGGGCCCTAAAAAGGCGGATATTGACGTATGGTCAAAATACGTCCCAAAACGTCAGTTATATGACATTTTGGGATGAGACTGTGTTATACGGTGCAGTTTTCAATGTAATGCACACATAAAATGCAAAGTGTAGGATTTCATATAAAGTCCACTGTGTGTACACTTTGCTTGCTGTGTGTGGACAGTTGTTGCATTATATATGTTCAGCTGTACCAAAACATACTGTTAGTGAGTGTGTTCTTCAGTTTGTTTTGTACTTTCTACATGCATGCCATATGGTGTACAACAGGTGGGTCAAACAGACCACAAAATGACACAAAGCACTTCAAAAATCATTATTCAGCACTCGTTAGTCATCAGATTAAACATAAACATAAAAGAACCATATATGATTGTGACTTCCAACACATGCTGTTTAATCAACAAACAATAGTTTTGTCCCAGCATGATGCAATCTCAGTGCGTCTGCCGACCCCATAAGACAGCTTTAGGAATTAAGACAATAGGATTTGAATCCATTATACAAAGAGGATTTTCACTGTTGACACATTGCACACTACCACAAATCAAAGCAGTTTCCTGCTTGACTGCTCATCAAACCACTATTTCCTGTTTACAAATGATTATACAAATGACAATGAAATAGTTTCAGTCTAATATCTCTGTGTCAGAGTCTCCTTAGACTGCTGTGTTTTCATTTCAGTGCGGTTCTGATGCAGGCGGGAATCCCAGCGCTTCCCAGACCATTCTTTAATGGTTTGTGAATAGCTTGGCGGATCAGGCTTTATTTGAATCTTTGTCAAAGGTTTAGAAAGCCTTGTATCCCGGTGAGAGGCTTTGGCGACATATGTCTCTTCACTGAATCCCTTTTAGTGCTTTACTGAAGTGGCCGGGGCATGTTTTCAGACTCTCTCTCTCCCTCTCTCTCTCTCTCTGTGTGTGTGTGTTGGAATTTGAGGAGCATGCTGAGAGTTTGGATGCTCAGTTTAATACTATCACTGCTACCTCTGGGAATTACTGACTGCATGTGTGTGTGTGTGTGTGAGTGTGACTAAGTAAGTACAGAGTTTCCATGTTCTGTTTAGTTGGCTGTTTGTTTAATGGATTAAAGTGTGCAGTTGTGTGACAGTGAAGCAAATGAGAAAGGTGTAACCGTAAGCCTCGGCAGTTTTCTCTGATGTTTGTCATGGATGATGTTAGTCAATGGATGAAGTATCCAGTCATGTGCTTCAGCGAGTTTGTCTTACTCAGGCTGAATGTTTGATTAACTTTCTGCACATGTTTTTGTTCATTTCGAAATAGATCTGCAAATAATTATGATTTGATGTGGATGTATTCGGTTCAGTTTGAGGCGCTGTTGCAGATGGTAGGAATTAACGCTTTCGGTGGTTTAATGGTGTTATGGGGGTGAATGGGGTCAGAAGTTTACTCCATATTGCCTTAAGAAGCATCCGGCACTTGTTAGGGTCTGCAGAGTTCACCAGACTATCATTAGGCTTAAGATTTGAAGGTTTGTTATTGACAAGCTACAACATTGAGCTAAAAATGTTAGGTTTTTCCCCCGCTTGTCCTTGCATATACAGTATTTTAGAATAGATTAAAAAAAAATGAAAAGAAAAACATAATGAAATAAGAAGAGATGTAAATATAAAGGCACTTGCAGATACATTTACTATTGATTTTCGGAACAATCATGTATTTTGTTTGCTTTTAGTGCAGTACAATTTATATCTTGGAGCTATCATTTTCAATAATTTCAGAAATGAGTCTCCAGTGTAATTGAAGCAATCAACAAATCCCCTTCTCGGTACAGGCTTTCTGAAAATATATGGTATTTCAGGGTTTATATCTCATTATAGCTGCTTAAATGTGCAACATTTAAAACGTTTTTAAACCAGATCAATGAATTCACATTTAACAATTTTTTTTTTGTGTGTGTGTAAAAATCTCAGCAGTGCAAACAGAGCAAATAGTGTGTGGAGTCATGACACAGGGGAAGACCTCCAAATTATGAGCCAGGGGCAAAAGTAAGAGAATCTATCACCTCTGGCCACTGCTGGATGAGGAGAGTTAATCTGGGTTGATGCTGGTAATTTGTGGAGGCGGCTTGATCTTGTGAGTGTGTGTGGAATGAGCCTGCGGCGCAAGCGTGCTTACGGTTCATCAGCCTTCAGGGAGGCGTGAAGGCAAACAACGCACACGAGTCAGGGAAATAAACTAATTTTCTCAGCCGACGTCTTTCATTCGAGCCTCGCAACCTTGTGTTTTGACTTTGCGTGTGCTGAAAAGTTCAATTTTCAAGAGAAGTTTATATTTAATGACTCTGGCAATGTGATAACATTATGTAATTTACACATATAACCAGGGCCTAAAAGTAACTTTTAGCCACACATGCCAATGGATTTTGCCAATAATATTATTTACCAGTCATGAAACATTAATCCTTATTAAAGTTACAAAAGTCATTCAGTCAAGAGCAATTACTGATATTTCTCTCTGTCTTTTGTTGTTTGATTCAAATTAAAAACACAGACAGCAGCAGGAATAATATAGGCTGCTGTCCCTTTAAGACCTATATGGATCCAATATACTGATACACGTGTGTTTTCTTTCTCAACTGTTTACATTCACTTAAGACATAACTGACCATGTTTATAGGATACTTGCTAAGATGGACATTGTTTCATAATTTTATCTGAATATATCTATTCAAGCGCAAGAAAATGTGAAGGAGTGATGAATTCAGTATTCACACGCTGTCTGAGACGCCGGGAAACGAAATGAGTTCCCTTTTGAGTCGTCTTGTGCTTTCGTGACAATGCAGCACTGGCCCTTCATCTGTCCCGAATGACTTTCATGTTTGGTTTGTTCATGTTCTTGCTATATGATGATATCAGTTTATGTTTTTTTTTTTTTTTTTAATAAAGAAAGTATTAAACAAAATACTTGCAACATTGAATTGTTAGAATTCATAATTTTTTTACCGGCCAACTTTTGATTGACACCGTTTCATATACTTGTATAGTTTGAATTGCTTGGTGCTTGGCGAGTGTAAATTTTTAGGTTAATTTAAAAAATAAAAAAAAAATAAAAACTGAATATTGAAATATGAAATGATTAAAAAAAATAAAATGTCCAATTCACCTTTTTCACAGACTATGTTGCATTTCCAAAGTTATTAGCATCAAAATTCTATCTATTTTTTGTATTTTCATTGTAAAAAAAAAATTAATACACATTTATAACACTATATTGTGTTATATTACCAGTGAATGACAAAAAACTAATTAACGCTACTGCTGAGAGGGAGTTTCTAATACAACGGCTGAGGGAGTGATGGCAAATTTGACCTCTTTCTCTTCTGACCTTTTTGCTTTTGGAGCAACTGGAAATATAAAAATGATATTTGCTGTCATCTCCTGTTCAGTGGAAATGTAAAAAGGGTCCATGGCCAATGAGTCAGTCGTTGAGTCATTTATCTGATTCATTCAGGAACGAAGCAAGTGACTGTCTGCACCACATGACATTTTACAACCTGAACTAACCTCATCTTGTCATTAAAAGGTCACATTTTGTCGTATATTAGGAGACTTATTAACCCTGACACCCTGCACATGACTTTACTGGTCACGCCACATGATTTTGATGACAATTATTAAAAAATTATAATTTACAGTGAAGCAGCTTTGTTAAAATATACTCTTTTTTTCTTAGAAAAATTATAAAGTATTAATGAGGTTTTCTTTTAAAATATTTCATTCTTTGAATGGGTAATCAATTTTCTTCATTAATTAAGATATCATGTTGTGTCAGCCTAATGCAGGCTTTGTTGATGATTTGAATCAATATAATCTCGCTTTGAGGTGATTATTATTTTTTTAAATGATCCCTTAAAATGAAAAAACAATGTAGTGAGAGATGCGCATCAACTTAACTTTACTGTTTTCTGCTGACATCAAACTTGAAGAGAGAACACATGTTGACCTGAATTGCCGTTCCCTCAATTCACTCTCATGGTGTTTTTTTCTCCCTTTTTGTAACCAGAAGGACAGTTACGCTTAATTTTTCTCATCGATGTTGTAAACTTTGATTGTTACGCTTTGACACGAGGGGGAGGCGGGGCCTTGAGTAATATTCGGGCCATACGCAACTTGCATAGTGTGCGTATAGGGCAGATCGGCTCCAAAATATTGTAAAACACTTTAGACTCTTGTTTCAAAGCAAACAGCTCCTCAAATCTCCTCTCAGTTTTGCTGAACAATTTATTACAATTTGTTTTCTGTTCTGACTCTTGTAATCATTTATGTCTCTTTAGATCTTTTCCTTGGAGGAGTCAGTGAAGAGCTCTTGCTAAAAGAACAACTTCCCAAGAGTGTTTTCAGCGTTTCCTTCACTTTTGTCCATATCTGCTGGCTGGGATGAAGGGGCTCGGGAGCCTAAGTGTCAGGCTCCTGTCGGCCTTCTTCTCCACTACCTTTGGTCTTTATTTCCCTCCTCAAGGTAAGTACAAGGACAGTCAAATTACTTTTGTACGTTTGTTCTTATCAGTGCAACAGTTCAACTTGAGGCTGTGGTCATTATTCAACACCATTGCATGTTATTATCTTGTAAACCCTTCCAGAAAAAAGCTTGCTTTTAGCATAAATGAGCATCTCAACAGCTCTTTTATCATGTGACCTGTTTCCTGTAGTGGAGCAGCTGCCGACCATCACGGCTCAGACCTCAGGCTCTCTCATTGCCTTGCCATATGATGAGAACATCCTGTTCAAGTGTGAAGCCAAAGGCAACCCAAGACCAACGTGAGTGAGATGTCCTGCTTTTAATGGGTTAATTCCCCCGAAAATGGAAATTGTCAATTTGCTCTCCCTCATGTTGCTCCAAACCACTTTCAATCAGCTATGAAACACATGACATCAGATTTCTGTCCATCCATTGAAAGTCTGTTCATCCAAAACTAAAGAGATCGCAAAATAAATCCATATGGATCTAGCAGAAGCTGAAACGTGGTGGTGTGACACGCGAGAATGAACCTCATTGGTTCTTATGCGTTTGGTGAGACATGCTTAAAGGGTAACTAAACCCCTGGTCAGAGCCTGACTCCACCCATTGGCAATATTTGAAAAATGCTGAAAAAGTGGGCAGACCCCAGCGGAGATAGAGGGGACGAAATAGATGCTAAAACACTCTATCCTGATCGTTTTCAATACTCGCAATTCCAACTCCTGACTCGCTACAGTGGTTTTGACGAAACAAGCTGGTTTTTATACTGCCAAGGGCGTAGCTCGTACCAAGAGTGTGGTACGTCATGAAGAACCGCTAACATCCAATTGGAAAATTTAACTGCAGTAGCCACCGTTCAACCTGAAGAGGGCAGCACTAAGACGTTTTGTAGAAATACAACACTTTATACACAAATGTAAAAAAAAAAAAAATTACTCGAATCAATGATTGGTATTAATAAAGATCCATTATTACAGATCATTAACTAAAAAAAAAGTTGGTTTAAGGTTTAGTTAGTCTTTAACAACACATTCTCACCCCAAGGAGTCACCTTTGACCATGCTTCAATATTTGACGTTTTATGCCTAGTTCACACTACATGATTTTAAAATGTCGGGCTGAACTGTGCAGTTCACACTAAATGACTTGCTCTCAGTGAAATCATGAGTGTTCAAGTTGTTTAGCTGTTCACACCACACAACACAACGTGATTGATCCACAACAGGAGGTAACTCACTACAAGAGTTAACAACGCACTACATCGAGATACAACCACGATCGGATGATAAGAGCATATCATTTGTGTCTTAATGAGAGCTGTTTCAGTACTATAGTACGGTCTAAATCCTGAAAATAATCAAACAAATAACGAGTTGACGACAACAACACGATTTTATCTGGTCTAGAAACCATGTTTTGTCACGAAAAACCACGCAATAAAACGAACCAGAAATGACGCGAAACTGCAGAGAAGAACACAACACGCGAATATGGACGTCAGACAGAAACTAGTGCTGCACACTGTTTGCTCGACGATCTGCTCTGAGAAAAAAAAAATGCAAAAAAGAAAAAGTAAGATTTACCTGGTGTCCTCAACCCATGCGTTGGTATGATTGGCTGTACTCATGACATCACTGAGATTGAGTCGCGCGACTGCTCGAGATATCTAGCATGCTAGATATTTTTCTGAGCTCGGTGACCTGTCTGCGAGGTGTCTGCGAGCTGTCTTTGATGCGTTGTTGGCTCTTTCACACTATCGGATTGGCGAGCGTTAATCGTCCGCTAATCGCCCGCGATTTGCATGCGATAACACCCTGACTTGTCGGCGACTCAACGATTTGCAAATCGGGCTTAAATCGGGCTTAAAATCACGTAGTGTGAACTAGGCTTTAGGCGCCCTTTAGCGTCACTAACATGACGCGATCCTACGGCGTCATCTAACTGACGCTAAAGGAAAGCGTCAGTTAGAGGACGCGGTTAGGTTTAGGTGTGGGGTGGGGGTAGGGTACACGCGATCCTAGGGCGTCATCTTACTGACGCTAAAGGGCGCCTAAAGCGTCAGATATTGAAGCATGTCCAAATGCTTCCCAAGGCGTCAGTTAAGTGACGCCTTGGGGGTGAGAATGGGCTGTCTTTAAAGGAGCCATATACAAGATTGTGGCCAAAACTGGTACTGCAATCACTTTCAAATTACTGTAGAGCGGTATATTTTCATTTTTGAGTGAACTATTCCTGTGCAGACAGCTAAACTGATGAAATAACCAAATACAATTAAAACTTAACCATTTTTGTGTGCAAAATGCAAATATGCATTTTTTTTTAAATTAATTCTATGTATTTGATTCTCTTCAACAAATATAGGGAAACTTAACAGAAAAGAGGTAAACAGAAAAAAGTGTTGAAACATCTTTAAAGGGGTGTTCATAAGACTGACATGATACCTTCATAACCATGACTTGACATATTTTATGAATATGAAGTAGGGTTTATGTATGTTTATGACAACTGTCATTAAGTGACTTTCGCTCAATAATGACATTTTGAATGCAAATATGACATTTTTTAAGATGTCTTTAGCCCTATTCGCACGGGAAAAGTATTACCTGGTGACCTCTAGTCAATTGTAAAAATTGCGGAGGTTGCCTGTGATCTTATTCCCGTGATAATCGGACATGTCTGTAATTTGTAAATGACATATTTCACCGAAAACGTAGGTCCTGTGATTATTGTGAATATTAGCCCCGTGCGAATCGACATCTCTGTGATTTGGTGGGGTCGTTTATATGTTTTTTTTCAAAGTTTTTATTTCCTGTGCGCTTTTTTATCCATCTTTCACAAAGGATAGAGACAGCATTGGAGTGTTTTGATAGGATTGGGTGCTGGGCCATATCGCGAAATACAATTTGCAGAAAGAGAAAGCTGAAAACCATCAGAAGAGCAAATTCAGCAAAAACTAAAATAATGACATTTGTCATGTCATGGTTATGAAGGTGTCATGTTAGTCTTATGCACACCCCTTCAAGTAAAGTGTTACCAAATGCACCAACTATACTAAGAGCTTTTCTTTAATTTCGATCATCTACTTTTTTTGTTGTTGTCCATGTCTAATAGGTGGAAAGAAAGTATTAAGTGTTGCTGAAAGTTTCCTGTTGTGTGATTTTAAATGAACAGGTACCGCTGGACAAAAGATGGCATGGATTTCGACCCACATAAAGACCCCCGGCTGATTAAAAAAGAAAGTAGTGGGACTTTTGAGATACCGAACAATAAAGATAAAGTGAAATACCGGGGAAAGTACAGATGTTATGCCTCTAACAAGCTCGGAACTGCAATATCAGAGGAAGCAGAATTGATTGTGCCTGGTAAGTCACTGTGCATAAACATCCCGTCTCACACATTATCTTAGCTGATAATCATGAAATGACTAGTAGAATTCCAGAAATTCTTGTATATAGAATTTCCATGGATCTGTTCCAGGAAATTTGCATTTTCCACATGTCCCCTTGAGCATATCAAGCATGATGTTGCTCAACTTGTTTTTAATCGTGATCAATAGTTTCAGTAGGCTGCCTGTCTTACATTTTGCTGAGAATTTAAATGCAATTTTTATTTTGTGCTTGATCACAGTGGTACCCAAGTTTCCCAAAGTGACGACAGAGCCATTGGTGGTCACAGAGGGCGAATCAGTGGTTTTGGAGTGTAACCCGCCACAAGGGATTCCACCATGGCAGCTGTACTGGATGACCAAAGGTAATTCAAGATACTTTAAAGAAACCATTTCCTGCACATCAAGTTAGTCAAAATGAGGAATTTTTATGTGCTTTCCTGTGAATCTCTTGTCAGTTTCAATATAACTTCTTCAAATATCATCGGCTGTTACAGCAAACCTTATTGTTTCTGATATGTCAATCAACTCCTTGGCCACAGAATACAGTAAACAGATGCAGGCATATATTTCAACCAACTGTATAAATAACTAGTGTTTGTCTGGCGCCAGAAAGGAGTTCATAAACGCCTGCAATAATAATAGGCTTTTGATGATAAACGTGTTATGGTTCATGTTGTAAATGGTGAAGAATGCAGTTGATTATTACTTACTGGAACCATGAGACATGTATGTGACATTTGAAGAATTTCAGTCAAGCCAGTTAAAGGGATAGTTTGAAATTTTGAAATTCATTTTTGATATGTTTTAGCTTACCTCAAGGGCATCCAAGATGTAGGGGTCTTTGTTTCCACAGTAGTTTCAATTTTGATATTTTTAGGTCAAATCGTTCTTCTCTGTCAGTCATATAATGGAGGTCTATGGTCACCACCTCAAAGAGCATGCACAGAGAAGTCCAAATTAAACATGATTTAATGACTCGTAAATGTGAGTACACATTGATGGCCTAAGACACGAAACGAGTGGTTTGTGTGAGAAAACGAACAGTATTTATATCGTGTTTACCTCTTGTAATCACAGTCACGTCCAAGTGATCTGAGGGCGAGGGCACTTCGGTCTTCAGTCTCATTGTTTACACAGAGATTTCAGAAGTGTTACCCTTCACTGTGAAGATCTAAACATATTTAAATATACAGGAAATGATTTTTTTCACAACTGCACAAGAGATCACTTCCTTCAGATCACTTGGACGTGACTGTGATTACAAGAGGTAAAAACGACATAAATACTGTTCGTTTTCTCACACAAACCGCTCGTTTCGTGTCTTAGGCCATCAATGTGTATTACATATACGAGTCATTAAATCACGTTTAATTTGGACTTCTCTGTGCATGCTCTTTGAGGTGGTGACCATAGACCTCCATTATATGACTGACAGACAAGAACGGTTTGACCTAAAAATATCAAAATTGAAAATACTGTGGAAACAAAGACACCTACATCTTGGATGCCCTTAAGGTAAGCTAAAAAAAATCAAAAAATAATTTCAAAGTGAACTATCCCTTTAAAGAGTACAGTAGCCAATCTCAATTTCTCTGAAGGAAACTTTTGTGTTTGCTTCTCAAGTAAATGTAACATTTTTAAGGATGGTATCGATATGTATACTAAAAAAACAAGCACCAGTATGTTTTTGCAGTGTTGTTACTGCAAATGTCTTTACTTCTTGAGCTGACGAGGTGTCTTAATCACGTTGAGCCACCTACAGTTGATAGAATATCTGAGCATTCAAAGCTCTACCCATGATGCCTGTTATCTGCTGTGCAGTCTGTCAGATGAGACTATTTCTGGGCGGTTTGGATGGTTGCCCTCTCAGATGTCCTGTTGCTCATGTTAATCTAACAATCCTCTCTGTATTGTTCTCAGATCTTCGGCACATTGAGCAGAATGAGAGGGTGTCCATGGGCCTCAATGGGAATCTGTACTTCTCAAATACACTGCTGTCTGACAGCCATGATGACTACTGCTGTTTTGCCTCCTTTTCCAGGATACGCACAATTGTTCAGAAACCCCGCATGGCCCTGAAGGTCAAGCCAAGTACGTGCCAAGAATCTCCGTAGGGAGTACAAGTAGCATGATATGGTTTAAAGAGAACTAAATTGAAATTTGTTGTATGCTATTGTGGGGTCGGTGTTATTTTTTAATGTCTTTGAAAGAAGTCTCTTGTGCTCACTATGAAAGGCTGCATTTACTTGATCAAAAATACAGTAATGTTGTGAAATACTATTAAAAATGTTAGAAAATGATTCCTGTGATCGAAGATGCATTTTCAGGATTTTTGCTGTCACGTGATTCTTCAGAAATCAGTCTAATTTGATGATTTAATGCTCATGTAACATTTCTTATTATTATCAATAACAAGAGGATGGAAAGACGTAGCACCAAACGTTAGTCCCAAACTGATGATATCTTCTCGCGGTGCATAGATCCAAAAGGAAATCAAAAATAAGAAAAAAGAGACCCGCACATGAATATAGGCCAAATTATTATTATCAATGAAATCAGATTGATATTTTAGTGGAAACAATGGTATGTATTTTTTTTTTTTCTGGATTCATTCATGAATAGAAAGCGAATCAAACTAAGAAGAAACTGCAACATTGTAACAAATTCCCTGTTTAGGTACAAAGCAAAAGATCTACAGGCCTGGATTTATTGATGATGGTTGTAGATTAGTTCCAGAAGCAATGCTCATATGGCTGTATTGGCGATTCTATCAACTAATAGATGCACTTGGTTTTAGTGTATCGTCAGCATGCTGTTTTTTAGCATGCTAATAAAACAGTAATCGTTGGACAAACTTGCATCTCCATCTATTCTTAACTGCTCTTCCAACCACTTTTTACAACCCAACCAATTCCTGATGGATAAAATCAAGTCTTGCCCTACACTTTTCATTTAATATCCACTGAGAAATAAAGATGTTAATGCAGTGTGTTTAGCACAGCTAAAAATATGAACACTAAAAAAAAAGTCTAATGCTAATTATTCCAATCAGTTGTTGGACGAGCACTCTGACCCATCCGTACTACTTTGTATTTGCATGCACCCGTGTGTTTCTTTTGGCTCTGTGTTATTCATTAACATTTCAATGTGCTGAAAATGCAAACACTTTCATTTTTTCTTTTTCTTTTAAATAGTAAATTCAAGCCAAGGGGATGATGGCATCATGAGTGGTAAGTCACAAATCAGAAAGTCAAGTATTTTGTAAAATGTGCCGTGTATCAATTATTCAAAAATGTTCATTTATCTTTTTTGGGGCTTTTCTTTGTTCCTTTAAGAAGTTTAGGATAAGGCTTCAGCACTTTCTGTAGTTCAAACTCTAAAAAATGCTGGATTGTATCAACACAAATTTGGGTCAAATATGGACAAACCCCAAATGTTGGGTTAAAAATGTCATTAAAAAATGTACAGTTGAAAGTGGAAGTTGAAGTTGGGTTAATTTTAAATTACATTTTTAACCCAACATTTGGGTTTGTTCATATTTGACCCAAATATAGGTTAAAACAACCCAGCATTGTTTAAAATTTTAAATGACATTTTTTAACCCAACATTTGGGTTTGTTCATATTGGACCCAAATTTGGGTTAAAACAACCCAGCTTTGTTTTGAGTGCAGATTGTGTGTTCTACACTCTAAAAATGCTGGGTTGTGTGAACCCAAATTTGGGTCAAATATGGACAAACCCAAATGTTGGGTTAAAAATGCAATTAAAAAACTTACAGTTGAAAGTGAAAGTTGAAGTTGGGTTAATTTTAAATTACATTTTTAACCCAACATTTGGGTTTGTCCATATTTTACCCAAATGTTGGGTTACAAATGTGATTAGAAAACTTACAGTTAAAAGTGAAAGTTGAAGTTGGGTTAATTTTAAATTACATTTTAACCCAACATTTGGGTTAGTCCATATTTTACCGAAATGTTGGGTTAAAAATGCAATTAAAAAACTTACAGTTGAAAGCGAAAGTTGAAGTTGGGTTAATTTTAAATTAAATTTTTAACCCAACATTTGGGTTAGTCCATATTTTACCCAAATGTTGGGTTAAAAATGCAATTAAAAAACGTACAGTTGAAAGTAAATGTTGAAGTTGGGTTAAAATTTTAAATGACATTTTTAACCCAACATTTGGGTTTGTCCATATTTTACCCAAATTTAAGTTTAAACAACCCAGCATTGTTTAGAGTGTCCAGTTCTTTTCAGTTTGATATATGCACTTTTCTAAGAATATCTGACTGTCGCTTTGCAAAAATAACGGCATGTTTTCTGAGAATATCTTGCATCATGTTTATTTTTCTTGCCTCTTTGGCCCATTTTTCTTATTCAGACATAAAGATAGGTTTCTTTTTTATGTCCATGTCAAGGCTATTTACCATAATTTGTCCCCATTCAGTTCAGGAGAGAAAGCCGAACATTTTGGTGCCCTCCAGTCATTCAACGACATTCCTAAAAAAAGGAGAAGAGCTGGAGCTGGAGTGTATCGCAGAAGGACTGTGAGTTCCCTTCTCTATGGCCACTTAGTGCTTACACACACACACACCACAGCAGCAATGCATTTCCACTGACAGCTATTTATTTTGGACTTTTCTCAGGCCTACACCGAAGGTAGAATGGATACGGGATAATTTACCGAAGCGCTCTCTTATCAAAAACTTTGGAAAGGTTCTGACTATACCAAATATCACAGAACTGGATGAAGGGAAATACATGTGCAAAGCAAAGAATGATCTTGATGAAGCTGTGCGTCATTTCAACATTGTTGTGGAAGGTATGTTAACATTTACAATGTCTTAAGCGTGCACTGCAAAAAAAAAAAAAAAAAAAATGTTGGTTTAACTTAAAAAAAAATGAAGTAACCTGGTTGCCTTCGAATTTTAAGTTCAATGAAATGGAAAAATTGAGTAGATACAATGAGGGAGATTGATTTAAACATAAACTCAAAATATTATGTTATCTGAACTACATGAATTATTTAAGTTGGTTTGACAAAGAAAAAAATGTTGTGATTACAAATGATGAAAATAGCTTTTACAGTGGGTATTTGATGATTCTCAGTCAGTAAATCTGTTTGACAAAAATAAATATTCTAATCTAGAAAATGTGAAATATAAATAAATATAATATAAATTAATCAATTCATATAATATACATTTTACAGTGTATACAATTATTTTAAATATCATTATCCAGTAATCTCAAAACAATGAAAGAGTCTAAGAGTCTAATCTGGTTAAATATATGCAGTTTATATAAAATCTATTTTATATTTTATTATATACTATTTTTATATTATCTTATTATTTTATATTTATTCTTTAGTTTCTTCTTTATCAATCATAAAACCAATTTATTTATTTACACACAATCTGGTTGATGATCACATAAGATCATTAACACAAAAGAAAATTGTGAAATCATGTCACTTCCTAACACAGGGTGGCAGTATTGCTCTAAGTAGGAAGTTGTTTTAATCCGTATTCATGTGTTGTGTGTCTCAGAGCCGCCCAGCTGGCAGGAGGAGCCAGTGAAGAGTCAGTTAGCAGAGATTGGATCTGACATCCACATCAAGTGTTCAGCTATGGGAAAGCCACAACCCACAATCACCTGGAAGAGAAACGGCCAGCCCCTCGATGGTGTGTTAAACCCTCTCATCCCCAACCCGTATAATGTCCATTTGACTGAATTTGTCGGCTCAAAGCCACTGCCAAATGCAGTGCAATTACTGGCTGCTGTGTAAACAGTATGCTGTTCTTATTTAGACTAAACAGCAGTGAAATTGTGTCCACTTTTGCATTTTGACGTGCTCTTGTAAAATAACAGTCAATAGATCAGCATATAACATACAGAAAAACTTCACAAGTTTATTGTTAAAATGATGATATGATATTATAGTTTACTAGTTGAGGTATTTCTCAAAGTGGAATAAGCACTTGCTATTGAACATTTCCACTGTTATTGCTCCCCAAACTAGTCATTTTGTCAAAATGTCTAAATAGAGGGAATGCATTGACGTCACTTTCCCACCGGATCAATCCCCCTCAGCCTGACTGAGTGGCAAAAGATCTGCTGCGTGACTGGATTTAATAGGGGAAACTGCAAAAATGTGACTAAAACGAACAATTTTAACAATTTAAACTAAATGTTGGACTCAGTATAGTGTTCCTTACAACTTACTAAAGATCCAGTGATCCATGGATATTGACATGCAGCCTGGAATCGTGTTGCCATTTATGTTTGCCTGATTTCGACACGGGGAAATAAAAGCAATATAGACCTAAACATAAAGCAAATTTGCCCGCTTTATATAAATACAATATAGGTAGGTCTAAATCTGGGTGATCACTTATATGAGTTATATAACCTATATATACACATCATCTTATCGAATATGCAATGAGAAATATTTAATTGACGAGTTGTTAATATATATAACAATACAAAATATATGGGTATGGTTTTACACCTAAATTGAGCATATTGACACAATATGATAACTGCAAATCCACCTTTCGCTGACTGGAATAAAAATATACCTCTGATTTTGTTGTCAAATCTAGTTGTACAGTCAATCGCAAAGCTCTTTCTCACTATATATGTGTTGTGTTTGTTTTTCCCGGCATTCACGCTGAAAACAAATACAGCCGCTCAGTCTTTTTGCCACACGCATACCTTCTTTTGAATATTTGCACTATTTGGTGGCTTTTCAGCAAAATGTGAACCTTTATGAAACACAAAAGCAAAGAAATACCAAACCAAACCAAAGAAATGAACACTTATTTATTTAAAATACATGTATTTCATACTAAGTATATAACAAATCCATTACATATTTACTGGCATATTATCTCTTGAGACTTACAGATATTAGTAAACTTTATTTGGAGTACTTCTTTGTACTTGCACACTTCATATTTCATAAAATTAAGCCTAAAATGTGTTTTAGTAAGGATAGTGTGATCTCTGTATAGTAGTCTTTAAATGCGAAATATTTAAAGTGTACTTAAAGCATACTTGCAATAGTTTCCACTTTATCACGATCAAATAAATTTAAGTACATCTTTAGTTGGACCTCAGCACTGTTTCTATATAACTAAAGTACATTCTGTACCAAATTAGTTGGTCCAATTTAGCAGACTTTAAGTGTACCAATTTAGTATACCAGAAGTACAATTGCAGGGTATTTATATTAAGTACATAAATATGTAAATGTATTTGTAGTATACTTAGCATAAAATAAATGCATTTCAAATGCATTTTGATATTTTTATTTTTCACTAGGGAATACATTTATAAATGTTACTATGGAAGCTTGTTTCCACCACAGAAGATAATTGCGACTTTTTATCTCACAATTCTGACTTTATTTCTCAGAATTGCGAGATATGAAGTCAGAATTGCGTGATATAAGTCTGAATTACGTGATACAAGTCAAAATTGCGAGATATAAAGTCAGTATTGCGTGATATAAAGTCGCAATTGCATGTTAAAGTAAGAATTGCGAGATATAAAGTCGCAATTGTGTGTTATAAAGTCAGAAATGCATTGTTATAAAGTCAAAATTGCGAGATAAAAACTCGCAATTTTCAGAACAAAAGTCAGAATTGTGATATAAAAAGTCGCAATTCTGTCGCAACACTGACTTTATAACATGCAATTCTTGACTTTATATCTCGCAATTCTGACTTTATTTCTCACAAATCTTCGCAATTTTGAGATAAAACATCACAATATTTATTTTTATTTTGTATTCAGTGGTGGAAACATGCTTCCATATATTAACAAACCATTTAAATTACAAATAGATGTTTGAAATAGAATCCTAAAATATTTTTTCCTCAAGTTTCCACAAAAATATTAACTGCTTTCAACATTGATAATAAAAATAAATGTTTCTTGAACAGCACAATCAGCATATTAGAATGAATTCTGAAGGATCACGTGATGCCGTAGTCACTGAAAATTCAGCTTAGCCATCACATGGGATAAATTACATTTTAAAATATATTCAAAAAAAAATAAAAAATAACATTTCACAATATTGGAGTTTTTTGTTCAAGAAAATCATCTCAAAAACATTAAAACACCGTACAATCCTCAAACCTTTGAATGGTAGAGTGCCAATTCAAGTTTGTTTCCCCTCAGATTTCCCTTCTACCAGTCACAGAGTGCTTGATGACAGAATAATCATTCTCAGAGCGGAGGAGAGAGACACTGCAGTGTACCAGTGTGAAGCCTCCAACAAACACGGGACCATACTTGCCAATACGAACGTGCTTGTCATGAGTGAGTACTTCACTGTAAACAATGAAAATCGTATTGCTATTTTTAGAATGCGATGATAGGTCAGGTACAACCCATCATTTACATGTATCAATTATTCACAGCGCCAGACGAGAAGATTGTGGTTCTCATTGAAGTTTTCGGGGCTTTGATTATGATATGATTCTCTTGCTGACATGTAATGGCTTAAGGGTTTCAGCAGCTGTTCATTCGTAATTGACATAGAAAACAAACATAAAACGTGTGCATGAGTGTTTGTGTGAAGTACTTCGGTCTCTGCTTTCAGTTTGTATCTCTGGCAGGAGAAGAAGACAGCACTTTTATATGCTAATAGATTTTTTTTTTACAGTTTAATTTCAGGAGTGTGCCTCGGTTTGGTGTGCCTCGGCCATATGCCACACTGGCTGTTTGATGTTTGTCTGTGTGAACTTTTGACTAATGGTCTGGCTTTCTCTCAGATCATCCTCCTTTGATTCTGACGCAGAATTATCTGGAGTACGCAACCATGTTAGGCAAGAGTGTGATTATGGACTGCAAAGTCTTTAGCTCACCACCTGCCGCCCTTAACTGGTGAGTTTGTTATCAAGCGTTGTGATTCCAACACTGTGTCCCCCTAAAATGATAAGCCACAAATGAATCGTCTCTTTTCTGTTCTTTGACGTTCATGTCCTAACCAACTGTGACGAGTGGTGCTACATTTTGTTTGTCTCTTGGTTTATATATCAGTAATGAGGAGCACACTGAAATCTTGTTACATGCACACGGAAATCAAAATAGGGACAAGTTGTCTGGAAATGCTAAGATTTTTCCATACTCTTCTTTTTTCCCCTCTATACGTTCCATATTCCAAACTGCATAGGAACCCTGCTTTTTTGCCAGTCATATATACATGAAATTGTATATGCACAGTAACAAGGTTTATATATTTATCATAAACAAATCTAATTGTAAAATTTCTATAATCAACAGCTAAAAACTGTTCAACAGCTAAAAACTAAAGTAAAAAAAACTGCTTTTTAATTAGTCCTAATATTAGACATTGTTGCTGATATAAACTGGTCTTCACTGCAATCAATCAATCAATCAATCAATCAATCAACCAATCAACCAACCATTCAAGACCAATCAATCAACCAACCAGTTAATTGATCAAAGTCTCTATATATTTTTTATATTTTTTTTATATGTATAAAAAAAACAACTTTTCAATTAAGATTTTGTTCAATGTTAAAGGATTTTTGCAGGATTTTCCTCAGATTATGGGTAAATGATCGCACTGCAGACCCAATGCAACCACTCAACCAACTAACCAACCAACCAACAAATCAATCAATTAGCCAACCAATCAACCAGCCAACCAACCAACCAATCAGCCAACCAACCAATAAATCAATCAATCAACCAATGAAACAACCAACCAACCAACCAATCAATTTTTTATATTTTTTCATATGTATAAAAAAAACTTCTCAATTAAGATTTTGTTAGATGCAAAATGATTTTTGCAGGGTTCTCCTCAGATTGCAGGTAAATAATCGCACTGCAGACCCAATGCAACCCCTCAAACAAGTAACCAACCAACCACCAAATCAATCAATCAGCCAACCAACCAACCAACCAACCAACCAAATAACCATCCAACCAACCAGAACAAATAACCAATGAATCAGCAATCAATCAGCCAATCAATCAATCAATCAGCCAATCAGCCAACCAATCAACCAACCAACCAACCAACCAACTAACCAATCAGTCAATCAATCAATCAACCAAGCATTCAAGACCAATCAATCAACCAACCAACCAGTTAATTGATTAAAGTCTCTATGTATTTTTTTAATATTTTTTATATGTATAAAAAAACAACTTCTCAATTGAGATTTTGATTTTGATTTTTGCAGGGTTTTCCTCAGATTATTAAATGATCGCATTGCAGACCCAATAGGGTCAAGTGAATTAAGTGAGGGAAAAAGGGACAATATATTGTGAAGAGACACTGTAAGATCTTTAGCCCTTTTGAAATGTCTGTTCTCTCCAGGGGACCCTCCTTTTGCACTCATATTTATGCTCTTTTCTTCTTTGAAAAGTTTCCTTTCAAAAACCTTTGATCAATTTTGAAAGTCATGTTAAAAAAAAAAAAAAAAATGGGCTACATTGGATTCGGCTTTATCAACAGAGCATCTGTAGTCATTTCAGCAAAGGCCCTTCCCATGGGCCCCTATTTCAGAAGAACTGTGAAGAGTTCAATGTTTGTTTTGTAGGAGAAGAGAAGACCCAGAGGGCTCTGTAGATGGAGAGAGATATTCTCTCCTGAAGAATGGCTCTCTGCAGATTCACAAAGTGGAGATGGAAGATATGGGCCAGTACAAATGTTCGGCAAGCAACTCTGAGGGCACCGCCAGCATCACCACTGAACTTTTCATCAAAGGTTAGCCACCTTCCTTAATCAAACAACAACAACAACAAAAAGCTTTCTGTTTGCTGGTCATTACTGAAACTAAAGGTCCGCTGTTGATAGATTCAACTAGGATCGTAGAACCTCCTCAAGACATAAAGGTCGTAAGAGGATCTATGGCCGAGCTGGAGTGCCAGGTGGAGTGTGACCCCACCCTCAGAAGACAGCTGGAGATCTTGTGGATGAAGGATGGGATAAATATCCTCTCCAACTTCTCAGAAAAGTAGGTGACCTGTTTTCCCCTTAAGCAAATCCTCGTTTCAGAAAGTGTTGCGCAGTCAAAACAGGAAGGATTAGCATGAGCCATGACATTTTTGAATTGTATTAATAGTTTTATCAGTGCTGGAATCGTGGATTAAGTACTTACACTTTGTAGTCGTGTAACAGAGCGGAGCTAGATGTAATTGTATGCTTTTATCAGTAATAGAGTGCATTTATGGGAGAAATGTCTCTCTTGGAAATCAAAAGGTACTCCAGCTAATGAGCAGGAGCTTTAACCTCTTTCTACTAGGCTAGAAAAGGATGACAAGCAGCATCTTCTGTGTAAATTCAGTGTAATACTGTGCCAAGTTTTGTTTTATTTGCTTAATTTCTACTTCGGATCACCAATTAGCAGGCTGTGATTCAAATCCACACCCCGGATTAGTTCCACCTGAACCACAAATTATTTTTTAGTAATTAAAGAAATTGTAGACAAAACACACAGAGAACAGAACAGAGCTTGGCATTGATTGTCATGACAACATTTAGCGGCGCTCTTATTTGGCATTTCATACAGAAAGCCGCCTCTGCCAACCGTGTCTACACTTTCTAGATCGCTTCTATTATAATCAATGGAGACGTCGAAATTATAAGTGGCTGTTTCATTTGACGGATGCCTGGTTTCTATTTCTACTTCAGCCACTTGTGCTCTGGCAGAACATTTGTATTTTGTGGGAATTGATTGCTTTAAAGGTTTATTTGCTGACCTTCATGTGATTCAAAGTCAAGTCTCTTAAAATATAAGATAATTTGACTTTAATCTTTAATGCTAAAAAAAAAAACAAGGACAGTTCAGGTTGTAAAATGTGATGTGGTGTGACTCCCTAAAAAATGAATGACTGTTTATCATCATATTATTAATGGAAAATATTTTACCTTGAAAAACTATATTTGAACCTTTTTTTTTATAATAATTTTAAGATTCAAGGTGTAAGGAAAATATGGTAACATTTTAGTTTGGGGACCAATTCTCACTAGTTGCTTATTAGCTTGCATATTACTAGAATATTTGATCTTTATTAGCGCTTAAGGAGTAGTTCACTTAAAAAAAAAAAAAAATGGTGATAATTTACTCACCCCCATGTCATCCAAGATGTCCATGTCTTTCTTTCTTCAGTCGAAAAGAGATTAAGGTTTTTGATGAAAACATTCCAGGATTTTTCTCCATAAAATGGATTTCAATGGGAACCAAACGGTTCAAGGTCCAAAAGACAGTTTCAGTGCAAACTGCAAACTGTTCAAAGGGCTTTAAACGATTCCAGACGATGAATAAGGGTCTTATCAAGTGAAACGAGTCAATTTTATCAAGTCAATTGGTTCATTCAACGAACAAAATGAACGAGTTGACTCGGGGAAAAAATTCGTTCATTTTGATGAACGAGTTCGAATAGGAGAGTTACGAACGCGCATCACAGAACAGAGCAAGGCGACCATTTGAGCTTATAAAACTTTTTTTTTTTTAAATGAGCGATCGTTTCGCTTGATAAGACCCTTATTCATCGTCTGGAATCGTTTAAAGCCCTTTGAACAGTTTGCAGTTTGTACTGAAACTTCTGGACTGTTTGGTTCCCATCGAAGTCCATTATATGGAGAAAAATCCTGGAAAGTTTTCTTCAAAAACCTTAATTTCTTTTCGACTGAAGAAAGAAAGACATGTATATCTTGGATGACATGGAGGTGAGTAAATTATCAGCAAAAGTTTTTTTTTTTTTTTTAAAGTGAACTACTCCTTTAATGCCTTATTTTGCATGACCATTCTACATCCCATAAACGTAACCACTACATCTACCTTACTAGTTAATAGTGAATAGTCCCCAAAAGTTTGACATTTTAACATATCAATGCATTGTTTCATGGCTTTTGTTTTACCATTGACTATGGCTGCCAACATAGAAATATGCCATAAATAATCCTGGAATGCACATTGCTTATTTCATTTCATCACCAAAAAAAGATATTGCCTCCGGAAACAGTGTAAGATTCATTGTAAAGGAAATTCAGAGACTTGGAAGTTGGAAATACTACATGAAATAATGATGACCCTGATGTCTCATTTATGAATTCATAATTTGAGAAATGTGAACATTAATATGAATATTATATTAAATATATAGTGAACCTTTTTTGGGTTGCAGATATTTCGCAGAGGATGGAATTCTCCAGATTTTCAATGTGAGCAACAGTGGTCAAGGGAAATACACCTGCATTGTTCAAACGCCACTGGACCAGGATACAGCTTCTGCATACATAACTGTGTTAGGTATGATTGAAGGACCTTTTGAGACTAGACTGAATGAGTGTTGTTATGTTTATGTATTACTTTAATACCACAATAATAGACCTGCTTGGAAAAATGATATTCAAATAGTGCTGCAGCAATCTCCACAAACAGAGAAAACACAAAACGTAGTGGAAAAGATGTGTTGTTTTTGTGATCATTATTCTTCTTGAAGTAATTCTGCTTCTCTTGCTAATGGTCTTCAGATATAGTTATTTTTGATATGAAGCTTGTTTATAGTCTTGTGTCTGAAATGTGACAGATGTCCCTGATCCACCGGTTCAACTGACGCTCACCGATCTGAAAGACCGCAGCGTGAGGCTCAACTGGGCGGCTGCTGGTGATCATAACAGTCCCATAACAGGTAAAACTCATTTAAAATTTTGCTCGAATGCAAAACGTTTCCATTGGCGTACCCTTTCATGTGTAATGATACACATTTTCTGTGCTTCTGAAGTAGGCTTTTGCTTTAAGCAAGTCATTTTCACGGACGTTGCTCATACTCATGCATTGCTCTATGATATTTCAAGGGGGCTCCCACTGGGGCTGCACCACAGTGTATTGAGAGCATGCGCTTTGCATATTCAATGACAGCTGTGCTCTGTTCCTGTGATCAGAGTTCATCATCCAGTATGAAGAGAACCACTGGGAACCCGGGACGTGGAAGGAGCTTCTACGAGTGGCTAGCAGCCAGTTCTCGGCCCCCTTGACACTCTATGGCCACATTAACTACCAGTTCAGAGTCATCGCTGTCAATGCTATAGGGAGAAGTCATCCCAGCTTGCCATCCGAAAGATATAAGACGCCTCCTTGTGGTAGGGATACCTGTGATTCCATCTTGGTTGACCTTGGACTTGTTTGAAGTGCCTGTCTCGGTGTCTTTGTGGGGATTTACCCTGAGAAAATTATACAGATGTCTATAAAAGCTCCATAAATTTTAATGCGCTTTTAAGCGAGTGCCGTCTCGAACCATCAATGACTGTGTGCTCGTCATTATGTATGATACACTTTGGCAGTGTTAGAGGGCAATGGTATTATTGACTGAGACATACAGTATGTTAAATAATTCATATTCACATTTGTACAGCTCCCGACAGGAACCCAGAAAACATTAAGATTGAGGGTCACCTGCCACATCAGATGGACATCAGCTGGGAGGTAATAAACTGCATACAGCATTGACAAATAATTGGAATGCATATATGCATGTCTTGAAGCAACAAAAAGAACAACATGTTCCTGGAGCTCCTATGAAGTCTCGTAGTTTTAGAGCCATACAAAGAAAAAAAGGTACAAAAGCTGTCACTGGGGCTGTACCTTTTCAAAAGGTAAACTTTTGTCCATTTACGGTGCTAATATGTACATTCTAGGTGTTAATATGTACATTTTTGTTGCTAATAGGTCCATTTTAGGTGGCAATATGTACATTTTAGGTGATAATATGTACATTTTGGGTGCTAATATGTCCATTTCATGAGCTAATATGTCCATTTTAGGTGCTAATATGTATATTTTAGGTGGTAATATGTCAATTTTAGGTGTTCATATGTACGTTTTTGGTGATGATATGTACATTTTATGTGGTAATATGTCAATTTCATGAGATAATATGTACATTTCAGGTGCTAATATGTACATTTTAGGTGTTAATATGTACATTTTAGTTGCTAATATGTCCATTTTAGGTGGTAATATGTACATTTTAGGTGATAATATGTACATTTTGGGTGCTAATGTCCATTTCATGAGCTAATATGTCCATTTTAGGTGCTAATATGTATATTTTCGGGGGTAATGTCAATTTTAGGTGTTAATATGTACATTTTAGGTGATGATATGTACATTTTAGGTGCTAATATGTCCATTTCATGAGCTAATATGTACATTTCAGGTGCTAATATGTACATTTTAGGTGTTAATATGTACATTTTAGTTGCTAATATGTCCATTTTAGGTGGTAATATGTACATTTTAGGTGATATGTACATTTTGGGTGCTAATGTCCATTTCATGAGCTAATATGTCCATTTTAGGTGCTAATATGTATATTTTCGGGGGTAATGTCAATTTTAGGTGTTCATATGTACATTTTAGGTGATAATATGTCCATTTCATGAGCTAATATGTACATTTCAGGTGCTAATATGTTCATTTTAGGTGCTAATATGTACCACTAAGGTACCAATATGTAGCCATTGGATACAAAAGTGTACCTTTTGAAAAGGTACAGCCCCAGTGACAGCTTTTGTACCTTTTTTTCTGAGAGTGTAGCAACTTAATTTGCACTGGCAGTCTCAAGAATATGAGCAAATCTCCATTCACATATTCATGAGTCAAAATTCCTTCAGATTGCAATTCTGAAGGAAAGCCAAGCGAGGCACCCCAGAAACTATCCCACGCCAAATTTCGCAAACCCATCAGCAAATGTCTCTTGCACTCAAGTGGTCCAAATGCTCAGTAATGTTTGGAGCGCACTGACCCACTTTTCCCTTTAATCACCAGCCGCTCTTGCCTGTGGAGCACAACGGTCCCGGTCTGGAATACAAACTGAGCTACAGGCTCCTGGGTGTCGAGGACAGTTGGAAAGAACAGATGGTGAAGAGACACTCATTTGTGGTGCGAGACACCCCAACGTTCATCCCCTACGAGGTCAAGATCCAGGCCTTCAACCACCACGGGTGGGCACCAGAACCCCGAACGGTGACTGGTTATTCCGGGGAAGACTGTGAGTGCGACAGCTCATTAATGCATTCATCTCACAGTCGTGTGACGCTGTCACGATTAGACAATAATAAACACTTAAGATAGGAGATTAGTTGGGAGAGTGGTTTAATCCACTCTTTACCAGGATCAGTCATTTCTGCTGAGCTTTTACATTGTGCTTTTAGGGATCAGACATATTCTTTGCCAAACACTTATGTGATTATCTTTTGTTTTATTCAATTTTTCATATTTCTCATGCCCTTGTCTCTGTAGTCGACATTTGGCATTGTCTAGAGGATAATGCAACAGGTTGGGCTGATTTTGTCCATGTTATTCCTGCATCAAAAAGGTTATCCCTGTGATTCATGTTGCAAAGTGCGGGGATGCAAACTTGTCAACTTTCAGCTAAACTGATGTCGTTTCTGAACCAAAAATGATTCATTTAGATCCGAAAGTGATTCACGTAGAACCGATGAGTTTTTAAAAGCCATTGAATTGCTCATAAATACTGCTCCATAAGAACCCCATCACTGCTAGCGTGCATTTTAAATGCAACAAATGCAATCATCTTCTCAAATTTGTAATGAGTCACTCATACTAGCCACTTTGGCGCGTTGAATTTTATATGTAATATACATTTTTCATTTCAAGTCTTTTAAAGGGTAACTAAACCCCTGGTCAGAGCCTGACTCCACCCACTGGCAATATTTGAAAAATGCTGGAAAAGTGGGCAGAGTCCATCGGAGGGGGGCGTGCACCTGAGACGCATCTCTTTGTATGGAACTTGCCTACGTCACCAACAACCGCTGTGTCACATACTACCGCAAACATCCAATAGGAAAATTCAACTGCAGTAGCCACCGTTCAACCTGAAGAGGGCAGCACTAAGACTTTTTTACACCATATATTGTAGACATAGAACACTTTATACACAAATGCCAAAAAAGTTACTCGAATCAATGACTGGTATTAATAAAGATTCATTCTTACAGATCATTAACTAAAAAAAAGTTGGTTAAGTGTTTAGTTACTCTTTAAAAAGGAAAGTGCAATGTGGTGTTGTTAAAAATATGGATTTTTCTGTATATCGACGCTAAAATGACTCTTCCCATACATTTTCCGTTAAATACACGATACCAGCTGCGCTTTCTAGCTCTCTCGTTTCTTCGTGTTGACACAAAAACCCGCCTCCCCTCACTCACTCGTTTCATTTACTCCATATGAATATTGGTGTTGTCATAGGGCTTTAAAGCTACACTGTGTAACTCTTTTAGTTTATTCTTAGCTAAAAACACTTAGTTCTTTCAAAAATATATGTGCTCATTAATGTACATTTACTTCGGTCAAGTAATAAAGTATTCTCGTGAGTGTATAATATGCCATTGAAAATACATACGGGTAAGGGGTTCTAATGTCGGTCGCCATGTTGCCCCTCCATCTTGAAAGTACATTAGCCAAAGAGGGACATACTCGTTAATTCAAGCTTCGCCTTTCGCGTTTACGTTTGAATTAACACTCATGGACAAGGTCGAACTGGAAGCAATGTTAATCTTGGACTATTGGCCACCGTAGGAGTTAAAACGAAATCGGAATTGAGAGGAACAGACACTAATATTCACCGGATGGTCATATACCTTTTCACCACTAGATGGGGGTAAAAATCACACAGTGTAGCTTTAATTTCTCAACGCTTAAACAGTTAAATACGCACAAAATAATGTCAAAATGGCGAGTATTCACGTAAACGTAGTCCGTTATGTTGAGAAAGAAAACTTGTAACAGTTTAATTAATCGTTGCGTCCGATAAAGTGACAGCAGCCTAATATACCGGCTGCCAAATTAAGACCTTTTATTGCCGCATACGAGTTTGCATCTCTGAAAGAGCTTTTCCCATGCACCCTCAATTCTCTGCAGATAGCTTTGTGTTAGCATGTGCACTTTTCCTGGAAAAAAAGTGTGTCTACTGTGTCATCCAATTACAGTCCATTTATTTCCCCCTCTGTGGCTTTAGTTGCTTCTGGAAACTGGTGTATGTGTGAATTTGTGAGATGTTCCCCTCTTGTTTAGCCTTAAAAAGATTCGCGTTCTGTTACCAATTCTAGTGCCCTTGGCGCCTCCTGGGGATGTATCTGTGGAGGTGTTGAACTCTACACTGCTGAGGGTCAGCTGGTCACCAGTGCCCCAAACCACCCTGAGGGGCCATCTTGGAGGATACACTGTGAGTTCCTGACCCTTCAAGCTCAAGGGCCCTGTGGTGCTGATCGATGAGCAACAAACAAGCTGTTTATAACAATTAATAGAATCCACTTTTGCCTTTTCTCTCTTTCTGCCTCTCTTTGTTTCTTATATATCTCATCAACACCTTTTTCCGCCTGTCTTTTGCTCCTAGGTGCACTGGTGGCGAACTCAAAGTCTGTTGACCTCTGAGAGTATTCCCTCAGAGAGACAGTCTCTCAATATCCCTGGAAACAGGAGTCACACCATAGTGCCGGGACTAAAGCCATTCTCTAAATATAACCTGACTGTCAACGTCTTTAACCGAAGAGGGAATGGGCCCAGCAGCAGTCCCATCTCTTTCACAACTCCACAGGGAGGCAAGAACTCTTTGACAGTAGACATGGTTTAAAATTCAGTGTTTGCTAAGTTCTTCTGTGGATTCGGTTGAATTTTGAATATTTTGTGGTTCACACACGGTCCAAAATATACTGCTGAATATTAGAAGAATAATTTACACAGAACGTTTTTAATGAGTTTCCAAGTTTAATGTACACACTGACCAGTAGTGCCTGACATCTTCCCACAGTTCCTAAGAAACCTTACGACCTGAAAGCCACAAACTTTCAGAAAGACTCCATCAAGTTGGTGTGGGCGCCTCCACTCGAAACCAATGGGTTTCTCACGGGATACTTGCTGCAATACCAGACAGGTTTGACACTCGCAGATTTATCTCCTGTTACATTATCTGTCTCAGTTAATTTTGTATAAACTATGTTGCTTAACTGTAATAGATCTGCCAAGTTATTCTGCTAAGTTTGGGGTCAAAACATTTACATGTTTTAAAAGAAGTTCACCAAGGCTGTATTTACGTAAAACGGTCAAAAACAGTAATATTGTGAAATTTGATTTTAAATTATATTAAAGTGTCCCTAATACGCTATTTTAAAGGTTCATAATTTTGTTTTGAAGGCCTCTTACAACCTACGCTATCTCACGACCAATTCGTACGAATTCGTACGAGTGATTCAAAAGTGGCTAATTCGTACTAATTCATACGACCTCACTCGTACGATTTGTCTAAACCCACGTGACGGTTATGTTTAGGGGCGGGGTCATGGGTAGGTCAATCGTACGAATTCATACTAATTGGCTAATTCGTAAAATATGTAAGATTTAGCAAAATCGTACTAATTCGTACGAGTGAGGTCGAATTAGCCAGCTCGTAAAATTCGTACGAATTCCCGTGAGATCGGGTTGCCTACAACAGGTTTACATGCGTCAAACGTCAAAAAATACGTTAATTTTTCTCATAATATACATTGCACATTTTTCAATGATTCTCAAATGACTAATTCAGTCTCTCTAAATCCCTCCTTTCCGTGAGCCTATTCTGCTCTGATTGGCTAGACGGCCCAGTCTGTTGTGATTGGTCTACCGCTTTCAGCGCGTGTCGGAAACAAAATGCACATTACCATACTTGAATTTCTGCTCTTTAGGCTTAATAGAAGCTCAGAGACTGTATGGTTACGAGTTGTTGATTTTACCATATCAATCCGAGTGCGAGTCCGATGATGAAACATTGGAAGAACTAGTTGTTCAACCCGAACCTCCATCCCAAGGATAATAATAATAATAATTCGTTACATTTATATAGCGCTTTTTCTGGACACTCAAAGCGCTTCACATAGAAGGGGGGGATCTCCTCAACCACCACCAATGTGCAGCATCCACCTGGATGATGCGACGGCAGCCATATTGCGCCAGAACGCTCACCACACACCAGCTTACTGGTGGAGAGGAGACAGTGATGAAGCCAATTGGTGTATATGGGGATGATTAGGAGGCCATGATGGACAGAGGCTACTGGGCAAATTTGGCCAGGATGCCGGGGTTACACCCCTACTCTTTCGAAAGACATCCTGGGATTTTTTATGACCACAGAGAGTCAAGACCTCGGTTTAACGTCTCATCCGAAGGACGGTGCTCTTTTGACAGCATAGTGTCCGCATCACTTTACTGGGGCGTTAGGACCCACACAGACCACAGGGTGAGCACCCCCTGCTGGCCTCACTAACACCTCTACCAGCAGCAACCTGGCTTTCTCAGAAGGTCTCCCATCCAGGTACTAACCAGGCTCAGCCCTGCTTAGCTTTAATGGGCAACCAGTCTTGGGCTACAGGGTGATATGGCTGCTGGCAAACACGAGGATGACACGAGCAGGACGTTTCTCAATAATACGCTAACTTACTCAGTTTACATGTTGAAACTGTAATTCATCACCATCAGCATTATCAAGTGTATGACCAACAACAAACCAATGCGTATATTTCAAATTTCTACGTTAAATTTTACATGCGTTAGCCGAGCTCTAACACTGAATGACTGATGTAACGTTAAACAAATCTTGCTCAATCCTTTATCATTGCTCAAAGTTGTAAGAACAACAGACAATCTGCATTAATAGACACAGTTTTAGGTAGTCACCCACAGCTGCTTAGCAGAAGTATTTTAGTAAGACAGTGCAACGCGTTCTCATCCTTTAACATCATATAGAACGCTATATGACAAAACGTCGCTATACTACGCACATGGCACCCGTTATCGTTAATATAACACGTGCTGTGAGGGCTAAGTTTAGGTGTGGGGTAGGGTGTGCGTGTCATATTCACGCTAAAGGATTTATAACGTCTTGGGTTCGCGTGTTATATTAACGATAAAGGGTGCCATGTGCGTTGTATAGCGCCGTTTTTGCATATAGCGTTCTACGTGACGTTAAAAGGATGAGAACGGGCTGGGCAGTAACGTAAGTTAACCGGTTAGCCGGAAACTTGCACAATATAAAACAAAAAACTACATATTTTTGAACACTAGGAGTTCGAAATACATGCATCAATAATTAATCATACTTACAGGTTGTGATTCTGAGGAGCAAGTTGGTTCAAATAAAGTGTGTACTGCCCCATCTTTAATGGATAAGCATTTTACAAATCCCATTTAGACGCCAAAGAGATTTGAGAAGCAAGGTTATACTGCTGTTGTATTGCTGTGGTACTTTTAACCACTGACTCTTAAAATCCTCATCCTTTGGAGGTGTTTACCAAGAGAATTTACTTCACGGAAGTGAAACTGGAATTGTTTTATTTAAAAGGGACAATGCATATTGATGAACACTTTAGCTTTTGAGCAAGGTAAATATGCCAGAATTAGCCCCAAGGATATTTTACATCTGCAGTGCCCCATCAGGTCATCACAATATCAAGTAACAAGGCTAAACATTGAAATTAAATATGATGCTAAACAATTTAAAGGACACCATAATATTCGCTGGATCTGCTGACGGCACGTTTAGACGGTTCAGAGTCTATCATTTTTTTTGGGAGACAATAACTTTATTTATCGCGCACTTTCAACTTTATAACTTTGCAAAACGTTTACACTGCATAATAGGGACACTTTAAGGATTTATCTTGGTGGACTAGATCGACTACACGTCTGCTGGCATGAGCAATACCCAGAATTGCTATTTGACAGGTGGGGAGGAGGGCTAAAGCAAAAGCTTCTCATGGCATGCTGTACTGAGCTAGTCAAGGTCAGGACGGGAATAAAAAAGGTTGCATAGATAGAAAAGAGAGATTTATAAATTTATAATAGAAATCTTTTGTAACATTATAAATGTATGTAATTTCAATCAATTTAGTGCATGCTTGATGAATTAAAAATGTTAATGACCTCAAACATTTTTTTTTTCTGATCTTCTTCTTCTAGTTAATGAGACTGTGGGTAAGCTGATCTCTGTGAACATCAGTGCACCAGATACTACAGATTGGGTCTTGCATGATCTACAGGAAGACAACTGGTATAAGTTCTACCTGAGAGCGTGTACGCAAGTGGGCTGTGGGTCAGCCATCAGCGAGGAAGGAAGCACCGTCCCCGAAGCATGTAAGTGTGCCCGGAAGACACTATAAGCAGAGTCCCAGGAGTTATAATGGATCTGGTGTCAGAATCTAAATTGAAGCGCCCATGCTGAGAGACAAACATCTGATACAAGCAAAGTTAGTTGTGTTCTAATTAGCACAGCCGCAAGGTGTTCGAAAGTGATTAAGCAGCAGTTACTGAACTACAGAAGTTGCTGTTGGCAAGATCTTGTTGCGTAAATGAGATTTTTGCTTAAGTCCTCTGATGAACTAAAGGGTGGAATAATGTCTACAGTCTAGTGACCGATCAATGAGGTGCCTTAGTGAAAAATATTTGCCTCTAGATGCGTTTTACTTGCTGTAAAACTGATTTTCCATCATCATCACTGCATTTCTCTGCCACAATTTGTAGGCCACGATTTTGTTTTCACGAATTGCATATTGTCATTCTCCATGGGTTTGTTTAAACCGATCTGTCTTCTTATCAACCAACTTTTGTTTCTCATCAACTAGTTACTATGCCTGAAAATTCACTTGCTGAAGTTTCCACAGTCTCAGCTGAGACTTCGACCGAGAGCTGTATGTATCACATACTGTAGTTTGTAGCATTTTGCAACTTAGTAGTTACTTACTGTAGTAATTGCTAGGGGTGGGAATCTTTTAGAATCTCAATCTTCAATTAAAATTCATTCTTGGGGTCAAGATTCAATATTTTATTCTAAACTTGTTTTTGATGTAATTTATTTTCTTTGAAGCCCTCCTCTTTATATAAAAAAAGCCTGTGACCCCAATTGTTTGACAATAAATACCATTATTTAAGGCTATATTCTATAGAAGAGAATATAGAGAGAAACCAAAAGAATTATATATATATATATATATATATATGTATATGAAGAGTTCAGATGCAAAAGCCTCTAAGTGCCATTTGAATTTTTCTTCTAGAATGATCATTTTTATCAAGCATGTATATTTAAGTTCAGTGATTTCACTTAAATTGCAATGATAATTACCTATTAATTGTTATTTTAAGTGAAATTACTGAACTTAAATATACAAGTTTGATAAAAATCTCCATTAAAGAAGAAAATTTCAAATGGCATTTAGAGGCTTTTGCATCTGAACTCTTCATATATATATCCTTCATCTTTGGAACACAAATTAAGATATTTTTGATAAAATTGGAGATGTGGACCACAGCTACATAGGCTCCTAAGAGATCGAAACTTGACGGCCCAGAAAGTCAATGAAGAAAATGATTAAATATTCCATGTGACAACAGTGGCTCAACTATACGTTTATCAAGCGACGAAAATACTTTTCGTGCGAAAAAACAAAACAAATAACGACTTTATTCAAATATTCCTTTTCTTCCTTGAAGGCCTGAGACGAGAGTTCAAGAGATTTCCACGAAGCATGCGTGAGAATTGCGTTATTATTCTACTACTTCTTGCGCAATTCTCGCACATGCGTCGTGGAAATCTCTTGAACTCTCGTCTCAGGCCCACAAGGAACAAATGGAGTAGTCGAATAAAGTCGTTATTTTTGTTTTATTTCCGCACAAAAAGTGTTCTCGTCGCTTGATAAACTTATAGTTGAGCCACTGTAATCACATGGAATATTTAAACATTTTCTTCAATGACTTTCCGGGCCGTCAAGTTTGGATCCCTTAGGAAGGAAAAGGAGGGGCTTAGTCTCGCTGCGGAAAGCTGTAACAAAAGGAGCTGTAGAAACAATTCCTCCGACCCACAGCGAGTCAGACTTTTACAGTGTCTTTGTTCTAAGCACTACACAATTGGAATGGGTTCCGATTCCATCGAGCGACTCAGTACCTTGTCGTACGGGAACATACTCAGTTACTAACGTAACCTTGGTTCCCTGAGATAACGGGAATGAGTACTGCGTCACCGGCCACGCTTTCACACTGCACGGCTTGGCGTTTGTCACTTCAGACATATTAAATTTATTCCCTTGGGCAGAATGCACACTTATATAGAGGGATAGACCCGCCCATTAGTTCACGCAGCTCCGTTATTCTATAATCTTCAGTAATCGGAGAAAAGGGAGTTTTGTGTCTAGCGACGCAGAACTTGTTCCCGTTATAACCAAGGTTACGTTAATAACCGAGTACTTTTTGCGAAGTCTGCTTATCTGTCAGATAGTCAAAGCAGTTTGAATTTCTAGAAAATGGTAATTTATCTATTTATACATTCATAGTTTTTTTATCTGTACTCTCTTTTTAAGATGAACTGTCAACATCTGAAGTGACATCATCCGAGTTGAGTATGTACCAACAGATTTGCAGCTGTTTTTGTAGGTTGAAAACTTAATTAGTATATTTAACCCATACATTATTATTACGAATGTCTAAAATAACTACTGCATGTTATTAGTTACATTACCTGATAACAGCATGGGAAAACATTATAGTCTTAACATTAATCACAGTACCTGTAGTTGTACTAATTTTCTAAAATGTTATAATGTTATAAATTAATAAACAGTTGTTGTTGTTAAATTAGTATTATGCGAGATTGCAATCTCGCATAAACAGCCTAATCTGAGATCATCCGTATGACGTGGTGCCATGTTTTGACATTACTCGCCAATAAAGAAAAAATTCAATATGTAAAAAAAAAAAAAAAAAAAAATAGTATTATTGTTGTATCAAAAGTCCATGCGTAACTCCATAATTGATGAAATAATTTTGTATATTGTGCTAAATTTTGCATACTATTCCATCAAAAAAAAAAAAAAAAAAAAAAAAAAAAAAAACACTTGTTGATAGCTAGCTTGGTTGCTTTGTCTTTTAAGAGCTGCTCTGTGAGGCAGTAGTACTGTCCCTGAACCCCTGCTAAAGACAGCTGTCTTTCTCAATGCTGACAAAACCAGTCTGGCTGCTGACAGGAACACATCATTCAACAGTGTTCATTTTCTAAAGACCATCTGTTTACTCATTGTCCAAATACACAAAAAAACAAAAAACAGGACTTTTACATTGATAGGCCGATTTTTAGCTATTTTGCTTATACACGATTGTATTATTAGTTGCATTTAATTATTTCTATTTCACATGCATGTGGTCTGAACTCTCTCTCTCTCTTGCAGGGCAACCTTTCTCTTTCACCTCACCTAATACAGACACTCCTTCTGTCAATGCCATATTTCCTACCTTAGGTATTCATCCATTCATCTATACAGTTAACCATCATTTTCACACCTTCATACATTCAACATTTCCGTACTTGAGTGAAATTTACATTTAAAGTCAACATGAAATCAATATTGATTGTATTATTGAGAATGATTTGTCAGTGCATGTTATTGCAAAGAAAGATGTTTATATTATAATGAATTTTGTTATTTATATTATATAATATAATACTTATAATTGACGGTCAGATAGTTCCGACAAAAGTCCTGCCCCATTTTTATCTTAAATAAATATCCACTATCCAGTTATTCTCTGAAATGTTATGTGAAGTGATAAAAAATAATAATAAAAAATAATAATAACTAATAGCTTCTAATTACATCTTCAACATTGTTATTAAGATAACTGTACTAATTACTCTCTCTACAAAATATGGCATTACTTATTACTGATTTATTTATTTACTTATTTCTCTTTTCATTCTTTCAAATCAACCGTTTCATGTTGACTTTAACAATGTTTCATTTAGATGAAGCATTTCTGTATAATTTCTATAACACAATCCTATGGTAATGGGTATACTGGGTTTCTTTCGCAGGAACTAACCTTTTGAGAGTATTTCCTGTCTTTTGTTCTATATCTTCTTTGTGTATTTCTCTCAGTTGTTCTCAACATATCCACCTTTGTAAGTGACACCTCTGCAAGAATCAGCTGGAGAACCAGTGGGGAACGGTCTGATTCACAGCTCTATGTTGCAATAATGAATCACCGTAAGAATGTCACTCCTCAATCTGCTTTGTCAGGATTCAGTGTTTACAATTGTAGAAGTATATAATAGTACATTTTAGAAAGTTTTATCTAGGGTTGCAACTAAGAACGATTTTGATGATCAATTAATCTGTTTGTTTTTTCTTATATTAAATGGATATTAACATTTTAAACAATGGACAGATCAGTGCCTGTATAATGCATGATATATTTTATAAATGTACGATTTAAAGTACAGAAAAAAAACAAAACTCTCAGTTTGAAAGCGCGAGTTTACAGTGAAGAACCAAAAGTAATAATTGTTCAGTAATTCCCTATTTTTCCCATTGAAATGAATGTAATATTTTTTTTTAATAATTAATTATGGTTAAAAGATCTGAGTGTAATGCAGGGAAATAAACTCTCTCAAATAACGGATATCCTGGAAGAAAATGACTAATCCCAGAGATCTCTATTTAAAAAGTGAATTTGAAGTACAACAAATTTGGTCTAAGCTTTTGGTCTATTGATTGCTCATCCTTTCTTTATTGTGCTTTAATGATGACAGTGACATTCAACCACTCATTTACTAATACGTTTACGAATATAATATAAAATGTGAGTAACGTTTCGGTGAAGAGCCTCTCAATGATACCAAACAAACAGCCAGAAAATCCAGACTAAACGATAATGAAATTCATTCTTAACTTTTCTTTGTGGGTTTTTATTTGCAGCCCTAGTATCAATTTTACTCTGTCTACTTTTCTAACCTTTCAAAGTGTGTCTTTTCACTATCATAGATATCACCTCTTTCTGCTGGGTTGTGGCCTAACGCTATCTGGTTATGCGGTTGTTCCTTCAGGTGATGGTATCTGGCAGCTTTCAGAGGCTTTAAATACATCTAAAGGTTTCCACACCGTTGAAGGGCTCAGCCCGGGAACTGTGTACACAGTCCGGCTGCAGGCTTCACATGGGGTTGATGGCCCTAGCATTTTTGAAGAGGTTTTCAAGACTAGGAAAGGTGAGAAGTTCGAGAATTTAGCCTGTAGAACAGCATTAGAGGTATCACTGACATCGCACAGCATGTGATAGTCTTTCTGTGGGTGCATTAGTTTAGCACTGAGGACATTCAAAGAAAGCTCTCCCATTCCTCTGAGCTTTATACTAGGTTTATATAATGCACTGTAATATATATTTGTGTAATTTATACCAGCAGCTGTGGTTGCCATGCAGGACTGAACTGAACTAGAGTATTTACAGTAAAAAAAAAAAAAATATATATATATATATATATATATATAAATCCATGATATCCATGTCATTCTTTCTTCAGTCAAAGAGAAATTAAAGTTTTTGATGAAAATATTCCAGCATTTTTTTCCATATAATGGACTTCAGTGGGAACCAAACGGTTCAAGGTCCAAAAGACAGTTTCAGTACAAACTGCAAACTGTTCAAAGGGCTTTAATCGATTCCAGACGATGAATAAGGGTCTTATCAAGCAAAACGATTGCTCATTTAATAAATAAATAACAAAGTTGAAGTTTTATAAGCTCAAATGCTCGCCTTGCTCTGTTCTGTGACGCACGTTTGTGACTCTCCTGTTCAAACTCGTTCATCCAAATGAACAGATGTTTTTCCGAGTCAATTCGTTTGTTTCGTTCGTTGAATGAACCAAACAACTCGGAAAAAGATTTGTTCATTTTGATGAACAAGTTCGAACAGGAGAGTTCTGAACTCCCTGAAATGCCTCACGTCACAATTTTCCTCATTTAAATACTTTTTACCGAAGACATATGCCAAAAAAAAAGCCTGAAAAAGGGGGTGAGGTCTGGTTGATTTGTGTTAGTAGTAAGTTGTCACAAGGCATTCCCAAGGTGTCATATACTGACGCTTTTGCCAATGCGTATACATCCAACGCACAAGGCACCCTTTAGCATCAATATAACACGCTTCAGTTATGGGTAGGTTAAGGTCTGGGGTAGGGTTAGGGTTAGACCACTGGGAGGCACCTTCTGCCCATATATATATATATATATACTGTATATATATATATATACACACATACATATATATATATATATATATATATATATATATATATACATACATACATCTGTGTCTCATGTGCGTTGGATGTATACGCATTGGCCAAGGCATCAATATATGATGCCTTGGGATGAGAACGGGCTTGTCACCATGTTCAAGATACACTTTTTTTTTCCAGCCCGGAAATAACGCAGTAATGTTAAGGGGCTAAGTTAAGGGTTATTTTAACTTATCCTAAGTTATGTATAGGGGTGGTGATGGTGCAGTGGACAAGACACATGCCTTTGGTGCGAGAGACCCGGGTTCGAATCCACTGTGAGACACCAATGTGTCCCTGAGAAAGACACTTAACCCCTAGTTGCTCCAGAGGCGTGCGACCTCTGACATATATAGCAATTGTAAGTCGCTTTGGATAAAAGCGTCAGCTAAATGAATAAATGTAAATGTAAGGGGTGTGACATTTCCTAAACATGCTCAAAGCAGATGACCAATCACAACACAATGATCCTGCTGACCATTCAGAGCACACTGCACTTTTTGGAAGGAGGGGCTTCATAGAGACAGGAACTTAACAGAGCGTTACTGACAGACTGGGAAGAGAGGTGTTGCAACAATGTCAAATAAGTGAAAATTTAGGTTTTTTGAACATTCAAGCATTTTAGTAGAGCCCCAAAACAAAAGCAAGACTTTCTAAAAAGGCATAATAGGTCTTCTCCTTCTCTTTTGTATCTGTATTATACACTGGATAAACTGGCTAAACATGTATAATATGCTAAAAAACACCTTGCAGGCAGTAAAAGAGACACAATGAATTAGAGTTCGTTACAAGTAGCTTTACAACAAGCTACACAACACCATCATGGCATGACAAAGGACACAGAAATAGTGGAACAAACATTAGTTAAACAATTTAGGATTACTAGTAGGAAGTTACAGGCAGGTGGGATTGGTCAAGGTTGGAGCTAGAGGACCTAGAGGGCCAGAGCTGAAATCCTCTGATGAGGTCTTACCATGAGGAATCCATTTTGATTTTACTATGAAAATAAATAAATAAATAAATAAATAAATAATCATTTTCAATGAAATGAAAAATCATTTCATTTTATTAAAGTTCCACTCCAGATATATTTTTGTAAAACACTTGTTCCCCACAACTTTCTGATGTCTGACAAATGAATACATTTGGACACATGACATCCAACCTTTACTCGTCAATGATGCCTACTCTGTATTTACTGAAACTGCAAATTTAATCAGAAGGGGAGAGCGCAAATAATGTTATTCGCAACACGAGAAGTAGAACAAAGTAGGTTGGACATTTTCATAAGTGTTCCAAAAATTCATTAAAAATTTGGAAATTAACTTCAATATCTTTCCACAGTCACAAAAAAACAAAACATTCAAAACAAACAAGTAATTAAACATGTATATGATCCACAAATGCTCTACTTTGTGTTCTGATCGTTCTCATTTGACAACCCACATCAGAAGTTGCCGCAGGAACCGTATTTTAAAATGCCATTTGGGAAATTATTGTTTATCTTCTAACCCAACAAGACAGTATTTGTTAATGTTTTCAAGTCGGCATCAGTGTGATTGTGCTCATGAATGACATTTCCCCCCCAAAAAAACTCTTTTGTCCTTGCAGTGTCTAGTAAGCAAGCGGCGGGATCCCAGGAGTGGTTTGTGGGGATGTTGTGCGCGGTGGCTTTACTGACTCTACTCGTCCTCATCGGCTGTTTTGTGCTCAAGAACAAAGGCGGCAAGTATGCAGGTAAAACACAAACAGCTTTAGAGGTCACACACAGCTTCCCAGACACTGTCCAAACTCAAAGTAATCTGTTGTCAAAGCGTCTATACCTTAGCTTTAAGCTTTTGTGTGGCTCTGCCGCCCCAACCCACAGACTTATTACTTGCTTCGTCAGACGGATATGTTGAGATCAGTGAGCTTTACTGGCCTGGCCTTTTTTTTTTTTTTGTTCCACATACTGTATATTTAACCAATATGAAAGGTTTTTAATGGATTCAAGATTTACGCCCTGAATTAATTATTATAAAATTGCATAATACCCTTATGGAGTGTATGAGATTGAGCCTAAGGCATCTTTATACACCTTGATCTTTCATTGTGGCTGTTATATACTTTACAATATAGTTTATAGCTTACCAAGCTGAAAAGAATAAATGCTTTTACCAGTAAGCTATTCAAGTTCAGTTTACTCAGACGTCAGTGTCCTTGATGTGCTTCCATGCAGCAAAATAGAAAATATTCGTGAGGTTATTGAATGTTAACTCACCATTTGCAAAGAAAACAAGTGGATGTCAATATGATCTCTTATGAGTAACAACAATACCCTTTTTGAAATGATATCAAGGCAGGACGTTTCTAAAGCAATTAACTTGAGAAATATCAGTAAGCAAAGCACTCTTCTTATTATAGAAAACATAATCGGTAACACTTTACAACACGGGTGCACTAATAAGCATTAATTCATGCTTAACTAATGCACAGATAATACTGAATTAATGTGTAACTAATGATTATTTAAGCTATTCATTAATGATTACCACATTAGGAACTAATTAAGAGTATGTAAGGTTAATGTATTAGTTCATACATGAATTGTTATTAATTAAATATGTAATTGTGGATTAATTCCATAATAACTCATTTTTTAACTAATAGTGTATGTTAATTACCAGAATGAGCCAAAGCCTTGTATTTCAACTTCCAGATAATATGACAGGTACACTAATATGCATTAATACATGATTAATTACTTCATTGTTATTGCAAATTCATGTGCAAATTACTACAATTACTAAATGACTAGTTAATAATGATGTGCCCCAACAAGTAAAGTCATAACATAATGATACCCTTGCAAATCATTAGCTAATGATTAATTAAGGCATACAACTGGAAGTTGAAGTGCATAGCTTTGACTAATTGTGGTAATTAACACATTAATTTACACTATTAGTTCATAAAATGTGTTAAGAAATTAATACACAATGACACATTGAATTAATAGCAATTCATGTATTACTTAATCTATTAATCATATAGACTCTTTATTAGTTGCTGATGCAGTAATCTTTGACTAATGGTTTAGTTCTTCATGAGTTCATGATTATCTGTGCATTAGTTAAGCATGAATTAATGCATATTAGTGCACCCGTATTGTAAAGTGTTACCACATAATCTTTCTGATTGTTTTCTTGGCAGTGAAGGAAAAGGAGGAGTCTCCCGCTGATGTGGAATCTCAAGGCCTGGAAGAAGAAACCCCCTGCGAGTACAGGTCAGAGAGCCACACTAGCTCTGTTCTAGATCTCCACACAAGTTCTTCATCTCACTGAGCTCCTGCTGTAACATCCTTTCTTAATGCCTTCATCTCCTGCTAACTAACCCTACATGCATGGCATTTCCTTGGAGCCACACGGAAAGCATTGCTCTCACTAGCCCACACACACAGGTAGTGAACGGCAGCTATGTTTTGTGATTATAGTTGTCGTATTGTGTGTAGATGATAGTACAACTTTAAAAGGTTACCTCAGTTATAAAAAAAAAATACCACTTAAAGGAGTAGCTCACCAAGATGTCCATGTCTTTCTTTCTTCAGTTGAAAAGAAATTAAGGTTTTTGATGAAAACATTCCAGGATTTTTCTCCATATAATGCACTTTACTGGTATCCAAACGGTTCAAGGTCCAAAAGACAGTTTCAGTACAAACTGCAAACTGTTCAAAGGGCTTTAAACGATTTCAGATGATGAATAAGGGTCTTATCAAGTGAAACGTTCGCTCATTTTAAAAAGAAAAACAACGTTTTATAAGCTCAAATGTTTAATTAGAAATAGTCCTCAGATGTCATGTCTGTAATTTATATTAACAAATCTAGGGTTGGATCTCAAACAGTTTCATTAAAAGTAGTTATTTCTCCACTAGGTGCGAAACCAACGTGGTTGAACGATACTTTGCGGCAATGGGTTTCGGGAAACAATCGCGACTAGCTAGTTGATTTCTCCAACGATGTATCGTACTATGGTAGTGAATCGTACATCGTTGTACGGGAAACGCACCCCAGGTGACAAACAAGTAGCACATTAAAAACCTGTGTGGATAAAATACCAGAGGCAAGCAGAAGGGGTTGTGTGCTGTTAGCTTGTATTAATTGCATATTGAGGATCTCGAATCCGTAAATGTGTTTCCATCTCATTACACTTAGACACAGAGATACCAATTTTATTCTTCCCTCAGGAAAGAAATGCAGCTTCAGCAGAGGCTCGGAGTCTGATCTGAACGCTACCCTTGTTTGGGGAGTTACAGCACCAGACACACTCGAACATCTGCTAACCGAAGTAACCAGATAGGGAAGTGCGTCCCATACCAGCTGTGGAGAATGACGAGAGCCTCGGAGGCTTTCAAAACTGCATTACTCCGGCTTACGCGATTTATTTATTGATTCATTGGCCACTGATTTATGACACTTTTGAGAATAGAAGAGCTGGTTTATCACGCCACTGATGATATTCATTTGATAAAATGAAATATGAAAGAGTGCATTGAATTCTATACTAATATATTATAGATGAAAGAGGTGGGCAGATATAGGAGGGAAGAAATCTAAACTTATCTGTCAGTAGTTATTGAAAGAGAAATGCTGAATGAAGATATACAGTATTAGTAGGTGAAATGAATATCTCTTAACAAGGCCACATATTAAAGGAGTAGTTCACTTTTGAAAAAAAAAAAAAAAAAAACATTTGCTGATAATTTACACACCCCCATGTCATCCAAGATGTCCATGTCTTTCTTTCTTCATTCGAAAAGAAATTAAGGTTTTTGATGAAAACATTCCAGCATTTTTCTCCATATAATGGACTTCAATGGGAACCAAACGGTTCAAGGTCCAAAAGTACAAACTTCAGTGCAAACTGCAAACTGTTCAAAGGGCTTTAAACGATTCCAGACGATGAATAAGGGTCTTATCAAGCAAAACGATCGCTCATTTAATAAATACATAACAAAGTTTAAGTTTTATAAGCTCAAATGCTCGCCTTGCTTGGTTCTGTGACGCACGTTTGTGACTCTCCTGTTCGAACTCGTTCATCAAAATGAACAAATAGTTTTCCGAGTCATTTGGTTCATTCAACGAACGAAACGAACGAATTGACTCGTAAAAAGATTTTCAGGTATGAATTATGATGCGGTATGAATTATGAATCAGTTCCTCTAACAATCCTGAAAAAAGTATCATGTTTTCCACAAAAATATCAAGCAGCTCAACTGTTTTCAACGTTGATAATAATGAGGAATTTTTCTTGAGCATCGAATCATCATATTAGAATGATTTCTGAAGGATCATGTGACAATGATGCTGAAAAATAAGCTTTGATCACAGGAATAAATTACAAAAAGAAAACTGTTATTTCATATTGTGATAATAGTTCACTACTGTTTTTAATGTATTTTATTCAGAAATGTTATTTTATTTACTTTTTTTTATTGTATGGGTTGTGTGTGCCTGCGCGCCAACAGATTATGATACAATTATTTTAGTCTTTATCTGCACCAATTAATCAGCAAAGGATGACGCAGTCCCCATTGTTCAATATCCTATTGTGGTCAGCAGGACTATTATTTCTAAAATGAAAAGAGGACAAATGTCAGTTTATCCTAATATATTTTCTGTCTGGATTTATTTTATCGCTATCCGAGATGTTGTGGCATCTCATAGTAATTGGGAGCTTCCGAGGTGACCCCCGTCTCCTTACAGACACCCGCTTGCTGGCAGTGCGCCTGTTCTCAAATTGGCAGCTAATTTCGGTTTGTCCCAACATTCCTAAGGGACTAAAGTAACCCGACAGGCTGTTTGTCTAGGCACACAAAAGCGTCTCTTAAGTCAGTCCTCTCATTGGCTGGTGTGTCCAGTGCTCTGTGATTTCCTCTCCATTTAGTTTCGAGAATTTCCTTCAGGCCTTGAAGTCTTAGCAATTAGTAATTAGCAGAAAGCGGTGATTGCACCCTTCCCCAACACCCCTCCTACCCGCACCGTCTGCCAGCCTTGACTAGGATCATCTTCTTAGTCACTCTGAGCTGAATTTGACTCATTTTTTTTCTTGGTGTTTGACAGTGACAATGACGAGAAGCCGTTAAAAAGCAGCCAGCAATTGCTCAGAGACGTCAACGAGGACGATAGCAGTGAAGACTGCTCTGTGATATCAGACGATGAGGACTGCGACTTCAACGAAGACGGGTCGTTCATCGGCGAGTACTCGGGACACAAGCGCAGGGTGTCCATGGAGGTGAACGGACACGCCCCTGGGACTTCTTAATGTTGGTTCAGTCTTATGAACTTTTAAACTATTTGACAGGGAGAAAAAAACGATTGTTTGCATGTATGATGTGCCTTGGATGTTTGTTTGTTTTTTTAAGTTTGCTTTTGCACGAATGGCCACTTCTTTAAAGTATTAATATGAAGGGTGATGGCAGGTTATAATTCAGCACAACATGAAAATGACTCATCGCTATGTTGTTTCAAACTCAAGGTAGGACTTTCTGAGACGTTTAGTAGAATGTTCAAGTAGCTCTTTCCATACAATACAAATAAATGGCAATCAGGGGCTTTAAAACTCAGAACATAAATTCTGTATCACATGAAAGACTTTGAATATAGCTATCAGTCGAAGTCATTACTGGTAAATGAAGACAGAAAGTATGTTATTGGGCAAGCTGGTTGTTCACTTTGAAATTAATTTTTGATATGTTTTAGCTTACCTCAAGGGCATCCAAGATGTAGGTGTCTTTGTTTCCGCAGTATTTTCAGCTTTGATATTTTTAGGTCAAACTGTTCTTGTCTGTCAGTCATATAATGGAGGTCTATGGTCACCACCTCAAAGAGCATGCACAGAGAAGTCCAAATTAAACATGATTTAATGACTCGTAAATGTACAGTAAGTACACATTGATGGCCTAAGACACGAAGCAAGCGGTTTGTGTGAGAAAACGAACAGTATTTATATCATTTTTAACTCTTGTAACCACAGCCACGTCCAAGTGATCTGAGGGCGCGGACGCTTTAAGAGGTAAAAACGATATAAATACTGTTCGTTTTCTCACACAAACCGCTCGTTTTTGTTTTTTAAGTGTCTTAGGCCACCAATGTGTCCTTATATTTTGGTTAATATATGCACTTTGTCTTCACATTGTGAATATTGGACTTGTGCGGCGAGAGAATTGGACTGTTTTCATCGTTTCAACTGTTTGAGAGCCTTTTGGGCCTGGTGGGCCTGCCACTCCTATCTTAGTACATCTTGGTAAGATTGTGGAACTATGCCTCCCAAAGGTAGTAAACAACCATCAGAGGATGATACAACTGTAACTATGGGTGTGTTGACCCAAATGATGGATCAGCAGAGAGAGTTTTATAAGGAAATGTTGAAACAACAACAGGACAACTTCAAGAGCTTTGTTCAAATCATTATGGATGGAAATGCGAAAAGGTTGGATGGTGTGATTAGAGATGTACAAGAACTAAAAACTAGTCTGCAGTTCACACAAGGCATCATGGATGAGATGAAAGCTAAGAAGAATGACATCGACATAAAAATTAAATCATTTGAGAGCAGCATTTTAAAATCAAAGCAGGAAGTGGAGGATCTGTTTGAGAAGCTGGATCACATTGATAATCAGTTAAGGAGATCTAATCTGCTGATTGATGGGATCGCAGAGGAAAAAGGTGAAACTATCAGTGGATTAGAAATGAAGATTCAACAAATGCTGTCGAATAATTTGGGTCTGGATAGTTCTACAATCGAGATGGAAAAGGTCCACCGGATTGGACAATTCCATGAGGGAAGAAAGCCAAGGAAAATTGTTGTGAAGCTTCTGAGATTTAGGGATCGACAGCGCATCCTTTCCTCCACCAAGAAATTAAAAGGTACAAACATTTATATCAATGAAGACTTTTCTGATTTGGTGCAGCAGAGGAGACGTGAACTGCTGCCAAAACTGAAAGAGGCAAGAGAGAAAGGTGAAAGAGCCAGCTTAAGGTATGATAAACTTATAATTTGGCCGGCAAATGGACAAAGGCAAGCATCTGAATAACTGTTCATAACCTTTTGGATGTTTACCCTGATGTTTTTGTTTTAATGTTTTAATCTTATTAATATGACTAATTTACTTTCAAACTTGCCTAAGAAAGGTCTCGTTTTGGCACATTTGAACATTTGTAGTCTCAGAAATAAGGTTCATGAAATTATAAATATCTGTTCTAATGGGATTCATGTATTGGCCTTATCAGAAACACACTTAGATCACAGTTTTGATAATTCACAGCTAGCTGTTGAGGGGTATAGACTTTTTAGAAAAGACAGAAATCAAAATGGTGGGGGTGTTGCATTCTATATTAGAGAGAATATTGCAGTCACTCCAAGGGAGGATTTGATGGGCAGCGAGATTGAAATGATATGGCTACAGTTACATCTTCCATTTAACAAACCCATTTTAGTGGGATGCTGTTACCGACCTCCCAGTTCAAATGTAGATTACTTGGAAAAGATGTGTGATATCATTGAGAAGGCATCTGCTCAAACCAAAGATATTTTTCTTTTGGGGGATTTCAACATTGATTGGTTTTCAAAGAAGTGTTATTTACGTAGAAAGATGATTACTATAACTACTGCTTCTAACCTTAAACAGATTGTTACACAACCCACAAGAATTTCTTTGAATGGTAAATTTAAATCGACATGTATTGACCACATCTTTACAAATGTGTATGAGTTGTGTTCACATGTCATCTCAGTTGGAGTAGGATGCAGTGATCATAATTTAATCATCACAGCAAAGAAAACTAAACTGCCTAAATTTGGTGCAAGGATTGTTTATCGAAGATCTTATAAAACGTTCGACCCCAATGCATTTGTGGAAGATGTTGAAAGGTCCACTTGGGCGGCTGTTTGTGAAGAGGAGGATGTCAATACTTCTTTACGTATTTTTATGGACAGGTTTGTGGAAATAGTTGACAAACATGCACCAATTAGAAAAAGGTCGATAAAAGGCAATAATGCTCCTTGGCTAGATACCGAGCTAAAATCTATAATGAGGGAAAGGGATAATGCCAAAGCCGAAACTCTAAAATCTAAAAGTGATATGGATGAAAGGTATTATTGTAAGTTGAGAAATAAAGTGACAAAGTTAAATAGATTGAAAAAGAAAATATATTTTAGCCAAAAGATTAGTAATTCATCAAACAATAGCAAGCAATTGTGGAAAGTTATAAATGAAATAATGTGTAAAAAACCAAAGCGTTCAAATATGTATTTGGAAACAGGAGAGGAAATAATTACTAAACCTTTGGATATAGCAAATCATTTGAACGACTTTTTTATAACGAAAACTGCAAATTTAAGATCTAGTATGTTATCATACACTAAGGTTGCACCTTGTAGTAATGTGAAGAACATCATGAGGAATAAATCTTGTTCATTGACATTTGGTACAGTTAGAGAGGAAATTGTTGAAAGGATATTGCTCTCTCTCCCGGAAGAAAAAACTGCAGGCATAGATCATTTGGATGGCAAACTTTTTAAAACTGTTGCTAATATCTTATGCAAGCCTATCAGTCACATTTTTAATAGATCTGTGATTAGTGGGGTATTTCCGGAAATCTGGAAGCAGTCTAAAATTATACCGTTAGTGAAAGATGATAGATTAGGTCTCACTGAATCAAATTGTCGACCAATTAGCATTCTACCTATATTGAGCAAAATATTTGAAAAGTTACTTTTTAATCAAATGATGCATTACTTTGTTTCAAATGATTTGCTCTCTAATTCACAGCATGCTTATAAGCCAGGACACTCCACTAACACTGCATTGGTACAAATGGTAGACCAGTGGCTAACTTTTATTGATGATAAAAATCTTGTGGGTGCTGTGCTGCTGGATTTCACAGCAGCTTTCGATATTATTGATCATGATATTTTACTTTCTAAACTAATGTGCTATGGTTTTTCACATCAGTCTGTGTCTTTGATACGCAGCTATCTCTCTGGTAGAAGTCAGAAGGTATTTTTCAATGGAAGCTTTTCTGATCGTAAGCAGTTGTCATGTGGTGTTCCTCAGGGCAGTTGTTTGGGTCCATTGTTATTTTCAGTGTTTGTTAATGACATGTCATATGCTGTTTCAAGAGCAGATGTTGTACTTTATGCAGACGATGCTACAATGTTTTACGCAGCATCTACAATAAACGAAATACGTTGCACCTTGCAGAATGAACTTAATGCCATTACAAATTGGGTGAAACTTAATAAATTAGCTCTCAATATAGCTAAAACTAAATGTATAGTTTTTGGTACTAAACGTATGCTTGGCGAGTCTTGCAACTTAAATCTTATTGTTGACACATCTGTGGTAGAGCAGGTGAGTCAGACTAAACTATTGGGTGTGAAGCTGGATAGTCAGCTCTCCTGGGCTGATCAGATTGATCATATTGTGTCCAAAATGGCTAAAGGTATTGCTTTTTCCAGGAGATGTTCAGTATATTGTCCACCAGCAGTCATGAAAACAGTTGTCCAGTCTTTAGTCCTGTCACATTTGGGGTACTGCCCAGTAATTTGGTCCAGTGCTGCAAAGGGACATCTGAAAAAATTACAAATCGTTCAGAATAGAGCCGCAAGAGTAGCACTTGGTTGCTCTTTTCGCTCTAGTGTGGATAAAATGCATACCCGTTTGGGCTGGCTAAAAGTGGAGGACAAACTTAATATAAGTCTTCTCTGTTATATGCACAATGCTCTATTTAAAAACAATCCAAGATCTTTTGTAGACAAACTGATTTTTAGTGGATATTGTCACAGACATGTTACGCGTCAGGTGAGCTCAGGTGTGTTAGTGGTTCCATCTGCAAGGTCCAATTGTATGGCAAGAACTGTTTTATCTAGAGCATCATCTGCTTGGAATAAACTGGATTTAAGAACAAGGCATATATCAAACATATATAATTTTAAGAAGACTCTAAAACAGATTACAATTAATAGTATTACATCAGTTAATTTGTGACTGTCTATATGTACTGATATTATCAAATGCTGTATGAGTGTGTATATGCAGATAAATGTGTACATGCGGTAATGTTATATTTATGTATGTTATATTTGTGTATTTTAATTGTATATAAGTTTTAGTACGCTTATGGGCCCCAGGAAGACTAGCAACCACATTGTGGAAGCTAATGGGGATCCAAATAAATAAATAAAATAAATAAATATTTAGAGACATTAAATCATGTTTAATTATCCGTGCATGCTCTTTGAGGTGGTGACCATAGACCTCCATTATATGACAGACACACAAGAACGGTTTGACCTAAAAACATCAAAATTGAAAATACTGCGGAAAAAAAAAGACCCCTACATCTTGGATGCCCTTGAGGGAAGCTAAAACATAACAAAAATTAATTTCAAAGTGAACTATCCCTTTAACAGATCACTTTTGGTTTTATAAAACAGGGTCCAACTTTATATTAAGTGTCTTTATGTGCTAACATTTAAATTAATCATCTGATAAAATGCACTTACTGCATACATACTACATGATATTCATTTATATATATAAAAAAAATACCTGCATGTAATTACATCTGCAATTAAAGAGATTGTTTACCCCCCCCCCCCAAAAAAAATAAATAAATAAATAATAATAATAATAATAATTCTGTCATAATTTACTCACCTTAATGTTGTTCCAAACCTGTATGAGTTTATTTCTTCTGTTAAAC